CATCAGCGAGCCCATCTTCCGCCGCATCATCAATGCTCACCCAAAGGACCCAATCACAGGCCGCGTCCCGCCCGAAGCCACCGCCCGCGTAATGACCATCGGCGCCATCCTCACCCCCATAGGCCAGCTCGTCTTCTCCTGGACCTGCCTCCCCGCCACGATCCACTGGGCCATTCCCATCGCCTTCGGCATCCCCTTTGGCGCCGGCAACACAATCTCCTTCATCTACGGGTCCAACTACCTCGCCGGCGCGTACGGCATCTACGCCGCCTCCGCGCTGGCCGGCAACGCCGTCATGCGGAGCATGTTTGGCGGCACGCTGCCGCTCGCGGGCACGTCCATGTATAAGGCCATGTCGCCCCAGTGGGCGGGAACGCTCTGCGGTCTCCTCGAGCTCGCGCTCATTCCGATCCCCATCATCTTTTGGCGGTACGGCGAGAAGATTCGCGCAAAGAGCCCGATTATTCGGCAGATGAGGGAGGATCAGGAGAAGAATGAGAGTAAGCGGGCTAAGCAACTCGCGCGGCTGGAGAGGAAGAGGGAGAGGGAGGCTGCTGCTGCTGCTGCTGCGGCTGCGGGTGGTAACAGCGAGAAGTCGACGGGCGTGTTGGCGAGCGAGGAGCAGACCGAACCTCGAGACATCGAGAAGAGTGCTTGAGAGAGGTCATCATTATCTTGCAAACCCATTGAGAAGAAGGAGGATGTGTCTGATGTATGGTGTGTCCGTCGCGACACAAATTAGAAGAGGACTGTATACCCCCTTAGCCCTCCGAAAAGATCTATTGTAGCATATACGGCGTTTGGAATGTCGCATCAGGAGACATATCGGCCATTGAGTCTTTCTCTGTAGAAGTTGTCGAGAAGTGAAGATTATTATAGCTACATCCATAGGATCGCCTCATAGAAGTAATACTTATTCTTTTTCAGAAAATGGTCTCCCACGGTCCCAGGTCTCTAGCCAGTTCCTTTAGCCTCTCCTTGATACCGTCGCCCGTGCCCTTGGTCCCCTCTTCTCCCGGTCCCGTGGCGTACCGCAGGCAGCCTATATCTCGATACCCTCCTTTGCCGCTATTGGTTTTATCGCCTGTATCAAAAGGGTCAGCATACAATACGAATGTTGGTAATAAATCTGTCAATGAAGTAGCTAGTAGACGAGCTGTACTCACATTCTTTCCAGTTCCAGTTCAGCATGTACTCGCACCGATTCATCCCATCAATCTCCTCCCCCGTCTCCCTCGGATCAAAGGCCCTCATGCCATACTTTGTTCTCTCCTTGCTCGGAAAGGTGCAGCCCTGTATCCAAGAGATTGTAAAATGATGTTTTGAACCATTCGTGCCCAGCCCGTTGGATTTGTATTCCCCGCTATCTGGCGATATCCGCAGCTTCTTCTCATCCAACGCCTTGCAAATCTTCTCAATATCCATCAGGATATCCATCCCGCTAATGACATCCTGGCCGAACGAAACCTTGTCGTTGCATTTCTGCTCGCCGACCTTGATCTCCATATCCTTGATCCACTGTGTGACAATAGGATACGGCGCTTTGCTGGTGTTCTTGGTCGGCGTTGTTGAGGTGGGATCCGATGTAGGCGCAAGCGTAGGCACGGCTAGACACTTGCAGACCTGGGCCATTTTGTCACAAGCCGGTGTCTGGTCGCGAGCGCACTGGTTTGGGAGGTTGCAGTGGCTGTCTTCGGTGCAAGCTGTTCCTGGTTTCTGTACCGCAGCTGTGGAGGAGGGACATACTGTGGGCACGTCGGATGGGTTGAATGACTTTTCGCTCTTGGCTGTCTGAGGCAGAGGAGACGTCTGAGAAACTGATGGAGTTGTCCTCAGAATTGGAATTACAGATGGACCGGGCGGGCCAGGAGGTGGCGGTGATTCTGCCAGAACAACATGTTTGTTGTTGTAGCTGGTTGTCCATGCTGCCCATTTTTGAATATTGTGTGATGGTTCAGCGAGTGCTCCTAGTTGAGTGCCGGCCAACAGCAACGAGCCTAGAAAAAGAGTGAATCTGGACTTCGACGGCATGATATGTTTCCAAAAATGGGTTGATGAGGGAGAGAGATGGCAGACACAACAGCGACGTAGTCTGGTAAAAAATGAGGGAGGAAGTGCACTTAAGTCGCCAGTGGACTTATCGCAACTCAAAGGGGAGATGATTGCCTGATTGAAAGTGTAACGCCCTTGTTTTGGGGCTTTGATTCGTGACACCATATCACCCCTTCTGAATCTGGGACAAACAACTCTGTCGTAGACTTGCCAACATTGTATTTTTCTTACTGAAGAGAGCAGTTCATTGACGCGAGGTCCTCGAGCAGCCATTTGTACTTTGAAGGGATGAACTCATGCCACCGCAGCTGTTCCCGAAAATAGACTGGATACAAAACTCACCTCAATAGCCCAAGTGGGTCCGAGTAAATAAAACATAGGGAGGCAGAAAGCACTCGGGGAAAGTCTCAAGAGAACATTAACAAAGAAGCCGATGTCAGCGTTGGAAAGAACTTGGCAAGGGAAGATTGGAGTGTCTGCCTCTGCTCCCTAGTTACTTCATCGCCTTGATTGACCCCATTACTCTTCGATCGCGTTCCGTTTCCGTGTTGCCTCCACTAATGACTGAACTGGGCTGGAATATGGGTCAAAGAAACCCCAACATTCTCCAATGCAAGCCAGAAACTCATTATGAACATGGCCGCGCAGTTGTATCCTGGCCTGGCTTCGTGTTAAAAGCTTCAAAAGTATCCATTCCGGATAAGACAAACGGCTGTACTCGCGATTCGTCACTGTCTAACATGGGACACACTATAGCGCAAGGTAACTCCCAACGCCGGGCGCGGCTGAGATGGCATATCGCATACGTCAAACGCATCAATGAGGAACGTCTATCGAAGCAGCGCCCCATTTCCGATGCCCCTCAGCTAATAGACGAAATTCGAGAATTCGAAGCTCTGTTTGTGGACTTGCCCCCGCTGCCGCCTCGCCTTCCACGACCCGATTATGCTATTGATGTCGGTAACCTAAACCCCGATGACCCCATGGAGCTCGGGTTCTACATTGCTTGTCGAATGGGCCACCTGCAACAGGTTGAAGTCTTCATTCACGACATGTCTCCTAGTCACGCTGTTCGTCAATTCGGTCTGCAGCAAGCTTCTTTCGGGAACCAGCCTGCTGTCGCCAAGTTCTTGCTTGCCAACGGTACAGCTCTCCACGGATACGTCTTTGAAGGCACGGAAGCCGCATCAAAGACACGAGGAACCGCTGTTGGCGCTTCCCTTTTCGAGACTTTTCCAGACGATGACGATACCTTGGTTCCTCTACTGCAAACCTTCATGGACGCAGGGTGGCACCCGAATCAAGCTTGGGAGCCCAGAGAGGGGAACTACCCAAAGTGGGCGCTCCAAGATCCTTTATGCGTCCGCAACAAACCTCTGGCCAAATTTCTCCTCTCTTGCGGCGCTGATCCGAATATTGGGCCAGGGTGGTATCATATTCCGACACTTAGGGAACAAGAACCAGATGTCTGGTTTCCAGTTGAGGTTCCGTTTCATCGGCATGGGATATGGACATTTGGTCTTGCGATTGAGACCTGGAATCCGCGGTTCTTCGAGCTGCTCAGAACGTACAGCGATCCTGCCCTCAAGGTCTCCGAACTCATGCCCTTGCTGCGCATCGTCCGAGACATGTTAGTATTATCAGCTGTCGGCCAACATAGTGAGGACGGTGAACGATGGGTGAGCCCGTTCTCCATGCGTCGTGAGATGGCTGAGCACATGTTGAGCTTCGATGACGTAGGTGTCGATGACGTGAAGTGGGCAGGAGAAAGAGGGGAGCAGACTGCTCTGACTTTGGCTTGTGCCACGGGGGACTGGGATTACGTGAAGTGGCTTCTTGACAAGGGGGCTGATCCGAGTGTTCTTGACGGGATCGCTTTCGCTCATGATCCCAAGAGGCTGTTGGGGCTTACGAGTTGGGCTGGGGCACCCGATTCAGAGCAGGTCGAGGATGTTGCCCGGCCATATCAGATAAAGTTGAAAAAGGAGCTGGACCAATATAAGCTAAACAATCGAATTACGCGCCGCTAAGGCGTGATCAACAAGTTCTGACGACGGGACATATGTATGAGGTGCCAGATAGGTACATCAAGTACGACTTGTCCATGAAAGACAGGATGGAGTTGAGGTTTCCATAGACCAGGGCCCAGCCCATCTAAACTGTGATGAATTGCAGTATCGTTAGGGTGAGTATGAACTTGACACTGACAATGTTCAGAAGAACGAAGGTTTCAACGATCCCCAAGATCTAGCAGTGAACGAAATTGAAAATACGACACCTGTAGCAGCCTTGATAAAGTTGATAGACACTCATTTTCAATTGTAGGCTACTATAGTTACATTCTCACCTCGATTTAGATCTACAGCTCCATGTCCTTACAAAATCATGTCCCATTTTCGCAGGTTGCCATTCCGCATAATGTTTGGGCTTTATCTGGAGATGAATGGACTGCCGGAATATCTTATGACAGGCCGCAAAGACGATTTTGTTATCCAAGTCACAACAACCATACATCTCCCGGCTGGAACTTGTGATCTCAAAACTGCTAATAGCTGAACAGACGGCACCCTACTGTGCTACTGCCAAGTTCTTCGCCCCCCGGCAAGCTGGTGAATCAGTTGAAACTTCCCTTCGTAGCCTTGCGCCTCAGCCTTCCACGGAGGGGCTGACTTCTCCTTCTTCCTTCCAATTTCCTTGACAACCGAAAGGTTACCTCTCCCCCTTTCACATCATCGGTTTCCAATATATTCCTCGTTTTTCCATTTGTTTCCTTCGCAGGAAGGCAAACGTGTCACTCTAATCTCCCGGCTTCAAGCTGTCGAAAAGGCACGGCAGCCGTCGCCACATCGACATCAAGGACTTTCGGTCTTTGCTTCACCGACACCAGACGACCACAGTTGAGAGATTGAACTCGACCATCGAAATAACGCAAGCGGAAAGCCACGATCATGTCTCTGTCAAAGCTTCCGAACCTGACCGATTCGGTCCGCGTCCCTTACGAAATTTTCCTCAATTTCATCGAGGTTCTCGTCCGGCGAGAAGTGAAAAACACCCATCCGCTGGAACACATCCTCGAGTACGACGGACGGAGTGAGGCCAGGATTGTCGTCAGCACGATCGGCTATGACGATGATCACTATGTACGAATCAACCGAATTCGTGACCTCCTGCATATCGACTCCAGAAGCCGCAATATGGTTAGCAAATACTTCCCTCGAATGGCCATGATCACACGCAGGCATCGGCGTCCCCGGGTCCCGTTCATGGGACGGGTGTGCCTTGCTACCGACATATTCACTCTCAAGGAAAATCACGAGATCGATTTTCTCAAGGCCTCGATCATTCTGCCCACCGTCAATGGCAATAAGATCGTCCGGAACATCACGGCCATCAACGGAAGCGACACTAAGTTCTTCCGAGAGAACTTCGAAAAGTTTGTCGACGTGCTCGCTTCCCTTCCCAACCTCCGCAAGATCGTCATCGATGGTGGAAACTATCAACCGAAGGAGAATGACGACAGGTGCGCATGCTCTCTCTCGGAATCCCACCCAGAGTTTACGACCGTTGACGCGTTCCACTTTCCATCGTTGGCCAAGTGGGCGGAAGACTACGGCGACGTTGCTCGAAAGTTTGGTCCTCAGTTCAGAAAGAGAAACACTTCAATCATCGCCCGTGTCTCCATGAACACATTCAAGTCTAATCTGGAGCTGGATATCACCGAGGATGCCATTCGCGTCAAGTCCAACTGCCGGAACTGCGACTGCTGCGAGTGCTGGGTGGATGAGGTTTGTCTAGATATGGCTTGGCTCCTTCGGCAATGTCGTCTCGCCGATCTCAGGGAGAATTCCGAAAGTCCCCCCTAGATGCTATTATCTGCAGATCTATGCACTCGAAGGACGAGATACCGGAGGAGCATTGCGAATGGAAAGGGGGGAGGGGTGGAGGGTAGGGGCGTTTCCTCGACCTTCGAAACATAGGATGGGACAATAAAGGAAATGACATCTCGCGAAATGGGTCGAACAACAAGATGGACATCCTTTCATGCTATTGAGGACTTCTAGTGAATAAAACGAATAGTTGCGCATACAATCAAAAGAGAAACTCTATAGGCATTCGACACCCAAGTAAGGTGTCTACATTGAGAGCTGGCTTGGTTACCTACCATCTTGAACCCAGCCTGACGAGATAAACTGTTTCGTACATGATTTGTGGTCTTGTCACAATTGAAGTGGACAAAAAACACTGTGTGAAACAGCATCGACCGTCAGCGTTACGATGGGAAAGTAAGTCAAGAATTTGATGTAAGCTGCAATCTACCGCAAGTGATACAAACAACCTCCAGAAATGGAAATGCAAAGCATACTCTTCAAACTCCCATCCGTGATACCTTATCGTAAATACCACAGTCCAAGCCTCATGGAAAAACTAATCCTGCTGCTGCATCGCTTGCTGTAGAGTAAGGCCAAGAGCTCTGAGATCCTGAGAAAGCTCAAGGTAACAATCGCAATGCGGGTCAAGGAACCGCATACGAACCGCTCCATCCTTCAAGGATAATCGTAATGTCTTGGCGCGGGAACTCTGTGTCGATGCTGTGCTTGTTGTTACGTAAACATCAATCCCTCGTTTTTCTGCAACGCGCAACTGCGTCTTCAAAGTCTTCAGGTCGTGACCCGATGCATCCAGACCCAGTTCGGGGAGGATTTGGGTGTCGAGTGGCATGTCGTCATCGTGAGAGTCATGGAAAGAGACTCTCGGATCGATCCCTGTGAAGTTTTGTTCGACATGGATCCAAATTTCTCGCAAGTTGGGAAAACACAGCAGCGTTTCAGGAGTAAGAGTTTGCGGCCAAATCTGAGTGGGTAGGTAGTCAAACGAAGTCTCTTTGGCCCGTCTTACTAGGTGAAAAAGCTTTTCGTGTTCAGGTTGAGGATGAAAAGTGAGAGATGCATGGAAGATGCTATCCGCGTCCGGCGCTATCTCGAAAATGTCAACATCCGGAAGCACACACCCTGGCAGCAGACGGACCCTTTCGTCCATGGATCGAGGATCATACGTGCGTGAAAAGTACGCGACGCGTACCATGTCGTTGGTAACGAAGGCTCCTTTTACCAAGCGTCTGCTGGTTCCGTCAATTCGTAGAAGGTCGCGGATCTGTTTCCATCGCTGCATCTGTATCTTGAAGCCTTTACGGCCCCACAATACAACAGAAAAACTGGACTGCGAGACACTTTGATACTGTCCGTTCGTGAAATCAATTGTGTAGATTACCTTTTCATGTCTAGCCCGCTCGTAGGCCTCCGAAATCATTGCCTCTACGATGAGGAGGAAAATCTCGTAGGGCAGGTTGATAGGGCCCTTCCGAGCTGGGAAAACTGCATGCAACGATTGACCGGACATGTTGCTTTTCCTTTAGGGGATGGATTGATAGGCTTTGTTGCTTGATTAGTGTACTTATACCTCTTTCTGGAGGACTTCGCTTGTAGTGTCTTGAAATTCTGAGTATGTTGAGAAGTTTGGTGATGAGAATGTTGGTGATTGGCTGATGTGGTATGAGAGAACTCCAGATATGACATTGCATCTTAGTATTAGTCCATCTTATACATTAACAACTTTTCATTGGCCTTTTGTGCCTTTAATCAACTGTTCTTGGTCTCTCTTGCATTGTCATCGCGCAGACAAATCTATTGTACGCATAACATGGGCCTAGTTCGTCGGTATTATTAGTTGTCGCGTCAGGCATTGATCAGTCCAAGTCATTGTTACACGACTATTGTCTTTGAGACAATAAGGAAATCACCATGTCTTCCTTCGAGGATCTTTGTACTATTTATTGGGCTTGAACCGAACCTTTCTATTCTTGCCAGCATGTCCTCCTAGCATTTACTCCAAGTAAGTAGTATAGGTACATGACGTCAGAAAGCTTCCTGGCCACTGTAGCTTTTCTAAACATAGCTCTTTAGATATGCCACAAGGCTCCTGCAAACTCCTTTGAGTCTGGACACTTCTTTCTAATTGAGCTACATTTATACCAGGCGTTCACGATGTCATGGCTCTACGCATATACAGCAAGTGATTCCACCGCCTCTTAACTATCAATGAACAGCCATGGTCCAGTTTAATGCCACAGAACTGTCGGGAAATACTGGAGGGTGCTGATAATTCGGAAAGGACCCGAGCGAGACATATGTGCCAGATGTAGAAGTCAGTTTGTCTCAAGCTCGCTAACTATTACTCAACAGATGGCAGATGGCCATATACACTTAATCCCCCAAGTCAGCTAGATGACCACATGAAGAATTTGCCTGCTTAGTTGGAGTCATTGGAGCAAAGGTGGAAAATTAACATTACAAGGTCACCACAGCATAACAATAAAAGAGGCTCGTGAATACAGAAAAGACGAGGTGAGAAAAAAGAAAATGGATGTTGTAGCTTCAACTATATATGACAGACTCGCTTAAATGTTTCAACACTAATTCTCCTAAAACCAAGCCTTGACACCGGCCTGGATGGCCTTGAGGAGGCTGAAGTCGTACGAGTCCTCACCCAAACTCCAAACAGCGACGCCACCCAGGCCACGAGCCTTGGCAATCTCATTGAACTTGCGGGTGACAAGAGCAGGAGTATCCCAGGTCCAGAAGAAAGGACCGGCGGGGTCCCAGTACCACTGGCCACCGCTGACCTCATCGGTCTTGCCGTTGGCCATGGCAGTCTTGAAGGAAGAGAGGGTGGAGGTGCCGTTGCAGATACCATAGTCGGACTGGCAGCCATTGCCGCAGTGAGCAGCGGTGGCACCGCAGAATCCGTACTGGGAGCAGCAGTTGCCAGTGGGGCACTTGTAGAAAGTTCCGGCACCGCAGGAAGCATCCGGAGAAGTAGTCAGGTTGGTGGGAGCAGCCTGGAAGTTGGCGGTCTCGAAGGTGACGGCTCCAGACATGCCCGTGTCGGTGCCGTCGGCAGCCTCCATGAGCTCGGTGGGGCAGCCGAGACCCTGGGTGCAGTTGTAGCCCTTGGCGGTGGTGAACCACTTGGCGTAGAGAGCAAAGCCAAGGTTGATCTTGGCGGGCTCGACGCCAAGAGCGATGTAGGTGTCGATAGCCTCAAGAGAGCCCTTGATGTCGGTGTGGTGCTTAGTGACATTGTCACGGCGGTTCATGAGATCGTAGGTCATGACGGTGAAGTGGTCGACGGCGGCGTTGATCTTGGGAGTCTGGTGCTTGGTGAACGCAATCATGTCGCGCTTCAGGCCCGGGGCGGTGACGGAAAGCTCCATCTTGTGGTGCTTCAGCTGAGTCTTGATTGCGGACAGGAGCAGAGGGAAGGTGTTGATCTCCGAAGTCTTCTGGCTGTTGGGCTTCTGGATGTAGTCCGCGCCATTGCCACCGGGATACTCCCAATCGACATCTAAGACCACGTTTAGGGGATGATCTTAACAAATTATGGTAAAAGATTATGCTTCACTTACCGACGCAGTCGTATCCAAGCTTGACCGCCGTCTCTGCGACGTTGATGGCATACTTGTGACGGCTCTCGTTGGTGGCAGCCCCAAGACCGAATCCGTCCGTGTCGCCCCAACCCCCGATGGCCATGCAGACCTTGGTCCCGTTATTGAACAGAGCGCGAACCTCGCTCAGGGGCTTGAATGGCTTGTATTCGCCAGCCGGATCGGAAGCAAAAAGGGACGAGTTGGCGAATGCGGTGATTACGTGGGTAACACCCGAGGTTATGGACTTATCCGGAATTCCTGCGGTATGGTACCTAATTGGATCTGTTAGAAAATTGTCTTGGATTTCGTGTGATGAAGCAACTTACTGGTCAAAATACATGACATAACGAGGAGCTGCACCTGTTCCTTCGGTGCAGGTAGTGCCGTCAGAGGCAGCCTGAGCGGCCACGGCGGCCACAGAGGCCAAGCCAAGAGATCGGAACAGCATTATTACTATGGTCTGGTATTATTAAAAGAATGTGGTTCCTCAACGAGTGGTTGAGACGATCAGGTTCGATTGACTTGGAGAGGCGTGAAAGCGCTTGCCAAAGAATCTTCAACACATGCGTGGGGAGAGGGAGACGCACCCTCAAATACCTCGACCCCTATCCGAGGGATACGCAACCGGTCTCGTGTTGACGAAAGTTACACACGGGTAGCGGGACCTGGTGCACATTACCGCTGCCCACAACCCGGCTGTTTGGAGGAGCAAACTTGGACGTTTGGTTTGCCTAGGTTGATTGCACTCGTAACGAGTGAAAAGGTAGATTAAACGGGCATTTGTTGGGTGGATCACGAGGGGTGATCATTCGCGGGCGGACGCGGTAGTGCGGCACTTCGCGGTGCCAAGTAAGGAGACAAGGCGGGATCGGTTGCGGTCACTGCGAGACATGGTTGACAGCGGTGGAGAGTTCAATATATCAAGAAAGTATAAACTGGCCGTTTGGTACAGTCGGAAATTGCGGTTGGACTCGGTCTGCGTTTAGATAGGCTGACTCGCTGGGATGAGCCCGTCCGAAATACCGTCGACTGAATCGCGCGCTCCAGAAAGTGCTGCAGCCAAGATGATTTCCCAGATGGAAAAAGCTTGACCTAAGCACAAGCCTTCCGGGGTTTCCGTCCGAACTCATAGACACCCTGCAAAGTGGTTCGTGCACTTACTTCTCGAACGAACCAGCGCGGCGTTGAAGAATCCAATATTATTTTTGGCAAAGTTGGCATCTTGCACTACTTCTCACCGTCTCTTCGGGCTTTCGATTTTGAAAAGTTTCAGTGTACGGGGTATATGTGTTCAGTAGCATGAAACTTTGGCTGGCATCGGAAGTATCTGAGAACAAAGTGAGCAACGTCGTTACTTTTGCTTCTTTTTCTAGTAGCCGTGTGCCTTGCTCAGGTTAGTTTGTGGCTTAAAACCGCTTGAGGCTGGAGCTCAGTGCAGCTGCTCTGTCTTTCCTGCACCTTCCATGGGAACAACAAGCTTGCGGCACTTAAGGCAAGCAACAGGATGACACCATGTCGCGTCTGATCGTGCAGCAGACAGAATTTCTTTTGGGTTTCTTCAATTCACACCTTTTGACCAAAAGATCATCGCGTTTCGTGATATTTGATCGTATGAACCGAGCAGAGACATGAGGCAAAGTGGATACTAGTTCACAAGTGTTGGTTGCAGCACTTGTCCCTTGTCTTTGAAAGCGAGTGAAAAGTGGCGGCACAACTTAATTGCAACGAAGCATTTGTGGCTATGATCTTTATATGCTCCATCCGGGTCGGCTTCATCTGGGTGTTGGGCTTGATCCCAACCTGGCAGAAGGGACCGTGAAATGTGATGTGGTTAACAAACACAGTCATGGTTTGTCGAATAGGGTTGGTGTATGAAGGAGTGAGAAAGTTGGGAGAGAAGTTCGATGTCCAGATAAAAGCCTGGCGAGGAGGTGGAAGTGAGCAGAGCTACGGCCGTGAGTGCCCAACCAGATGGAGAGAAACCATAGATGGCCCCTACGGAGGTGGCTTGACGACAAGCTATCTCGAGACCTCCCTGACGAACTGTCTATGTCCCGGCTCCAAAGGAAATTCAAGACCTGTGTAATTCCAGATATCTCCAGAGAGCTGGTTGCCCTCGAGTATTGACAGTGGCATCTTCTCAACCAGGATCAAGACTGTGCCATAAATGAATTGCCTGGACTTTTCGACGAGTGTGCACTCCATTAGTAGCAGTAGAACAGTCATCAAACAAAACGCAAATTAAGCCCCATCGAGAAGTCCCTGACATGCAATGGTAAGTATGTGGCTTTTACATTCGCTGTTCGTAAACTCGTGTTCTTCTTTCGCTATATTTGGGTAAATGCAAGCAATTTTCTGCTTACTCCACGCGCCTACTGCTGCACCGTAACTCGTAACATAGAAGTTGCCCCCCTTATTTGAAGTTACAAACAATGACGATAGTAAGGAAACTTTGAACATGCCCTCGTTACACATATCGGAAGTTGTCAGGTTGCAACATGACTAGGAGTAACACCATCCCAAGGACACTTAGACATTTCCTTTGCCCTGGTTCCCTACTATCCTGGAGGCTCAAGTAACAACTAAAAGTGCTAGTAGTATTCTGATAAATCGTGAAAAGCCTTTTCTATTATTGCCACTCCTTCTATGGTCATCCCTTTCTTAGACCTTCTGGGTTAGAATTCGGAAAGAATAGTTGTAGCGAACTCAGATAATAAAGTCCATACATACTGATTATTACAATATCAGTCAAAACGTGGCCCAGACCACACGGGAAGCAATCAATTTTTTCGCTTCTCAATAGAGTCTCTGCGTGAACTGCAATTTTTTACGGTGTTCTTATTGTCAAACTTTCATTATTTGGTTACATACCGTACGACCCGTATCTGGTCACTCATCATTTTGCCATTTAAGGAATACGTCAGGATGAAGGGCAAGAAGCTAGCCCAGCCTCGAAGATTGCTGTTGCACACTTCCGGAGTTCCAGTCTATTCAGAATCGTGCGTTGAACTTGAACTTGAACTTTCTGACACAGAGGGCTACAGTAGATAATATACTTCTAATTGGCGTAAGACGCTCTTACTTTTCTCATCTCTCTGAACATCGGAACGAAATCACCTCCCAGTTCATGGCCCCTGAATTCTTCAGTCTATTCTGACAATACTCAGTCTCATTCTCGAAACCATAGCATACAATCACGCCAGTCCTGGTGCATATAGCATGATTGCAACCCAGACTCAGAGTATGCTAACATCAACGTGGCAATTACTACAAGAAGCACGAATCGTGTCAAACAACCAAATCTCGGAAATTCTGTTCTCAGAGCTTTCGGTGGGTGATCAAAGCGTGTGTATCGGGTTCATAGCCTCCATAACAAGCATGGCCACTCTCCAGCCTTCGTTCTCTTGGTAAATGCACATGAACATACTCCTTCGAAAAGTCATTTGTAACTGCGTGTGAGCTGTTACCGCCATACAAGTACTACTATGAAAACGTCAGCGTCAGAAGAAATCAGCCGGTGTCCATGAGAGTAGAAGCCAAGTTCTCTCTCATTAGCGCTAAAGTTTGACTTGTCAAATTCTCCACCGCTGTGAACTTATTGGTGATTCTGCCAAGGACGCGTCTGAGTCAATCTGCAGTTCAAATTCCCGGGTGCCGAATTCAGGAGCCTACGAAGCCAATAGAATAGAAATGTTGCCGAATTCCTAACAGAGCAGCGTCTCTTCTGTCATGTACCAACCCAAATTTCCATGTCGAATCGTGCCCTAATTTCTACAAACAGTACGGAATGTCCTGCTTTGCGAAGTAGCCTCCAGAGTCATGAATTCAGGGACGTTAGGCAATTTCTGAAGCTTCATGAATCATAGGCTGTTTCAAGGTGACCTACACCGCCAAGTGTCTTTTCCGCTCCAACTGGCCAAACTCTCCTTCCCCCCTTAACAGAATGTAACTAGAGGTTGGAAAAAGGGACACCGTGGAAGGAAAATTGTCCGTCGTAAAGGTTCATGTCAACAGAATCCTGCTCATACCTAGCACACTGGCGAGCATTAGGGTCTTCTCACGGGCATCGCCGACTTGTCATATCTGATACAACCCCCCATCTGACGTCGTACTGCATTAGTGAATCCCGATACCACCTCAGGTTACCTAAAATGAACTCTCAGGCCATAGTCATACCTCGACTTCCCAAAAGAGGCCAAGAATCAGCATAAGAGTACCTCTCGCGCTCCCGTAATATTCCGGCCTCTTCAGATCGCCAAGCGGGAAGAGTGGTTTGTATCCGCCGTGGATATCTAAATATGGTCCATCTCAGCTGGGGCACATTTGAGAAACCTTATTCCCCGCTACTACCTTCGATCCAGCGTGAGTACGATATCATAAGAAGACTGCTAGATCACAATATCACCCATGACTCCGATCTAAGCCCCAAGACTCACATGTCTCACACTGGATTCAGCAAAACGGCAAAGCGACGAAACCATTAGAACGCGTCGAGGGGATTACTCTTATAGGTTTACAAGCTCCTTAATAGCCTGATTATGGATGTATTGACTCTCCAGAGGATAATCCAAACCCCGGATAAGTCGTGTTTGAGAGCGTTTCTGCGACCGGCCGAATGCTACATGTAGGAATCAGGGGCGATGCGGAGGCAATTCCGACGCTTCAACTTCACAGCCGGTATATTCTGGACATATGTAGTCAGATTCAAGATTCGTCTCAACCTCGACAACTGTTCCTTTCAGCCAAGGCCGCTGTCGAGCCTCCAGAAGCTGCTTACATTTTTCAGACCTGCGGAATCATGTTTTTTTACGCTCATTCAAGCAATCTGGATTTCTCTCGGCTAGCATCTCAATCTCGTAAAAGATTTTCCAGTTTCAGTCAGTTCAGCCCGAGATCAGATATGTGAAGAATGCATGGACGTCGGCGTATGAGTTGTTGAAGCCATAGAGCTATCTAGAAAGTTTGGATTGAAGGATGCCCGGGGATGTGTCTTTGTCTTTTCGAGAAGGGGCGTGAACATCATTGAGGTGTTGCATTCTACTTTGTACGACGAGCGAACTTGTGTTCAAGAACTTGTCGGGTATCAGTAATCTCTGGATCGGCTCCAACAACGACTTTTGCAGTTCTGGCGCCCAAAATATCTTCATCGGGACTCCTGACCACCTCTCGCGTTGTAGTTCATGCATAAAGTATTGCCTCAGACTGCATTTGTCTACTACGTGGCTCTGCTAGCCATCCGACTCAAGAGAAACGTCGAAATGTAGCAAGCAGAGCATCCGGAAACCTGAGCCATTCTCATTTCATGGGCATACTAGACCTTTATGCCAAATTGGTTGGGGACAAGACATTGCGGACTTGTTATTAGCTAATATATTTTCGAGCAAACCTTGGGTAACGAGCACATCAAAATCCGCCAAAATCAGATTACTGGCGGAAAAGATCTGTCATCTTAAGTCTTGGTCCCAGGGAATCCAAGCTTTTGACGATCCTGAACGTCTCGTGTAGATTTGGACTGGCATTATCCCTGTTGACAGGAATTCATGGATGGGAACTCGGACTTTGAAGGAAACCCTACACCGAGAGACTTTGTGCTTGTGCATACATACCTCCAATGAGAGGGTTGGTGAAGCTCTCACATATTATCTGGAGACGTTGCAATGTTACACGAGGGAGACTCATTCAGCAGTTATCGTAACTCTGGTCGACCTCCGAGCTTATCGGGTTGTTATGTTGCGCTGAGACTCGAATAATCCCATTTAAAAAAATCAAAAGAATCAACATTGCCCTTCCATAATTGGGCCCCCTTTCTCCAAGCTGATCCCCGGAATCTTGTCCGTTCGTACACTAGAGTCACGGATCATACGGAGACGCATCGATGGGGACAACTTGGCGGCCTCGGCTGTGCCGCACAGTAGTTCCAGAAAAGGCAAGGTTTCCTTTGAAAGGGGTGAAGGTACGAGGTCCACGAATCATGGTTTGCGGCCAGCTCCCACTTTGGAACGTCGACGCAGGATGACTAAAGTCCGTGTCCGGGGTAATTGTCCGGAGATGACGGCCTCAGAAAGGGCCTGGCATCTTGTGGACGGACCAGATGCGAAAGTCGAGGCTTGGACATCTCATAGCCCGGGAGAGAAGAGATCTCGTTATGACTCGCGCCTCTCGCTCATCAAAGAACGTTTGAGTCGCTGCCGAGCCTCGACACCGTTAAACCGCTCGTCTGGTAACGCGCGTGAAACTCTCTTGATCCGTAAGCAGCCAATCCGGTACCAAAGCATCAGTTAAGGTTTCGTGTCACCTGGGGCGAGCCTCATTTAGCCGTGGGCAGAAAAGAAAGTCTAAACCTACGTGGATCCCATGGAAGGTAACCCTTGGCGGCTGAGCAAGAGCAGGCTCCTGGGTAACTTGTTGCAGAGCGGCGAGAGCGGTGAATTCAACAGTTATTGTAGCGAGAGTGCACTAATCAGTCTGTCCAATCATCCTGTACACGCTACCCTAGACTTACGGCTCAATGCGACCAAAGCTTTGATCACAATTTGTCTGTATCGCACAAGTTCACAAGATCTTGATTGGCTCATACATTCCTTGGTTAAGTTGTCAATTCATTCTGATGGACTTCAGACTTGGCAATCGTCTCTTTAATTACTTGAAGAGGGGCCTTACTTATTGCAACTGTTTTTGCTAATCTTCAGGACCGGTTTAAAAGGACAACGAAGCCCTAGTTACTGAAGCTAGCTGCCGGTGGGCTTCTTGGCATCTATCGAAGATACAAGCCATCGTGGAGATGCCCAATTGCAAAATTGCAAGGGACATTGCGAAATCTGATCTTCTTGACTCGACAACTCCTCCTGGTTACTCAGTGGGCCTTCTGGAGACCTCGACACGGGTTCCACCTCTATTCCGCCGAAGACATTGTACCCCGACCCATGAAGATGCCAAGCATCGTTGATAGCTTCCTGGGCGTCTGCGGGATACACCAGCTAAAACGGAAAATCGATGCCGACCAGGCATGGCTTGATACCTCCTGAGGTCTGAAGCACCGCCCCTCTGTTGCTAAATGGGATAGATTTAAGTTCAAGTATATGTTATGAACGAGACCTCGTCAATACCGAAGGAAACTTAAACTTGTTTCTGTAGTCCTTGAGACAATGAAAACGTGCCTCCGGCATGTGAATTGCAACCCAATGCCGTTTGGCAGAAGCTATGATGAGGCCCAGGGAGCGAAGTGCCAAGTATAAAGAGAGCAGAAGTAAGCTGTAAAGATCGAGGACTTCAAGTCTTTCACCACTCCTCTTTTAGCATATTGTCTTTCACCAAATTTTCTTGGAAATCATTTTTATTTGGAGCTCCATCACAAATATGTCAGCCATCACGAAGTCTTTGAGCGCACTCGCTCGCCGCGGCGCACGAAAGTCAGCCCTTGGTCACCACCGTCGTGACTTGGCAACCGTCACAGACCACAACCTCGCGCGGATGGCTGCCACAATGCCTCCGGGGCACAGAGCCACGGTAGCTCAGCTTGAGACATTCACACTTCCTGAGCGTGTTACAGGTAGCCCTGGAGATCGCGCCATGGGAAAAGCTTTAGTTGATGCCTGGCGCCGAGATGGTATCCTCCAAGTCTCTATGAACGACAAGCAGCAGCATATCTTCAACGAAGCCACAGCCTCAAGCAAGGCATTCTTTGCTAAACCCCATGACGAAAAGGCTGCTTGTGTTGACTCTCAGAGCTACTCGGGTTACATCGCCTCCGGCGAGGAAATTACCGATGGCATCGCTGACTACTCCGAGATCTTCACTGTCACTAAAGACTTGGATCTTGCTGAACCCCGCGTTCGCGCAAAGTGGCCCTGCCACGGCCCGGCCCCGTGGCCCGACTACGAAATGAAACAGCCTATGACTACATACATGGACTACCTTGGAGAAAGTGGAGAGAAGTTGCTCCAGCTTGCTGAGTTGGGCTTGAATGTCCCCGCTGGCTCCCTCACAAATCTGACTCAGGACGGATGGCATCACATGCGTATTCTCAGGTAAGTCACAGTTACAGTCGCAGTAGCAGTCAAGTCTTCTCAGGCGCCTATCAACTAACACCTATTCTACTAGATTTCCTCCCACCCATAACACAAACGGCAAGGGCAAGGCTGGACGTGGTATTGGCTCTCACACGGACTATGGCCTGTTGGTTATTGCTGCTCAAGATGATGTTGGCGGTAAGTCGAGATCATGAGCGAGTCAGACTTAGCGGAAACTAACACATAGATACAGGCCTCTTCATCCGTCCTCCCTATGACGGTGAGCACTACGCAAACTGGGAAAAGAGCTCAGCTGGAATGGCGGAGGAGGACGACCGCTGGCACTACGTACCCCCTGTTCCCAACGTCTTCACAGTCTTCCCCGGTGATATCATGCAGTACATCACCAACTCCTACCTGCCCTCTACTCCCCATAAGGTCGGCTTGAACACCCGCGATCGTTTCGCCTTCGCCTACTTTCATGAGCCCAGCTTTCAGGCCGTTGCCAAACCTCTGCCAGGCTACGATGTCGGCCAGTCTCCCAAGGAGGGGATCCACTACGGCAGTCACTTTACCAACATGTTCCTGAGGAATTACCCTGAGAGAATCACCACTAAGAGAATGCATGCGGAGAATCGTCTTGCCCTCCTCGAGAAGGAGGAGCTCCGAGCCCATTCTTCTCAATCAAATAAGGCGGGCAGAGTTATTACAAATGTTGTACAGCAGACTCAACAGGCTTCTTTGTAAGCTAACGATACTCAATAAGCAAGCGACACAAAATTATCTTGGATTCACTGGCCTGACGGCGTAAGAAGAAAGCGATGGGGGGAAATCAAATTGATCAGGACTCCTTCAAGCAGAATTTCATTAGATCATTAGACAAAACTTCTGGTAACAGACAACAAAAAGTTTGGCAACAATTCTACGGTTTGGATTAATCTCGAAATCATGTTCTAGCGTTATCCCTTTGTGTCAGTTGTCAATCGTAGTCGTGCTGAATACCCGCCTCTGGACTCAAAATAGCCCGGGCTTCAGCGCATTGCCACTTCAATTATGCAAGTACCGACGGTATCATGTTCTGCAGAGTGGGTTTCGATGATAAGCTCTCTGTTGCCCTGTTCGAAATTCTGCTCCAACTAGACAAACACAAGCTTGGAAGGCAAATTTAGGTTGGAAGTCACATATGACAGTATCTCGTGGCATGCTTTTAAGGGACCAATCAGGCATCCTCATCCGAACCTCGCTCTCCACAACAACTCAAAAGCCCGCCCACACCACCATACTTAAACTTCTCGTCTCTCACCATCTTAAACACTACGATCGAGCAATCTGACATGGCGTCAACAGCAATTCGATTTGTGTCAGGTACCAAGAAATCCCCCTTAGGTACCCTATATTTACAGTGCCATGTAAAACCTGGCGCTTCCCGAGTTCGTGAGGGGGTCACCGCCGTCACAGATGCGACCGTAGAGCTGTGCGTTTCAGCGCAGGCGAAGGAAGGCGAAGCAAATAAAGCTGTTGTGAAATTGCTCAGTGGGGTATGTATCCTAGTCTAGTTTATTTTCCGCTCTGTAGCATTTCCGAACTAAGCGGCAGGAGCCCATCATTCGCGGTTTTCCTTAGTTACTGGTTGCTAACTCAAGTACAGGTTTTGGGCATCCCCAAATCAGACCTCACAATCACCCAAGGGCTCAAGTCAAGAGAAAAAACTGTCGCAGTAGGCAACATTCAAGACGGAGAGTCGAGTATGGCTAAGATAAGGGAGCAGCTCGAGAAGGCCGTGGAAGATGGTTGATGAGGGTACATAGAATGGCGTTAAAATAATTGTGACAGCGGGCCGTTTGTTCCACAGCGAGAGGCATCAAAGGCATCTATAAAGTATGCTTCAGTGCGCTAGAAGAATGAGTTATACAATTTCTGGTTCGATATTGCTCAATGAAAGACATGGCAAGATTCGTTGTTCAGCCAGCTGCTGCGCCGTGTCCTCTTTCCATCTATACATGTTCCAGCGTAGCTTACGACCGATCGACGTTGTAAGTCTCTGTCACGAGTATGCCGCCAAGTCTGGGTTCTTGTTCGCCATACCTGTTACAGTCAAGTCCCTCAGTCTGCCTGACTTGGCTTTTCCGGAACTCCTCCCCCAAAATCTCTTCATCCGAAGTGTTATCCATCGGTATGTCTCCCCTGCTGACTTGTGTGCGAGTGGAAGATCCTTTGATACCAAGCGCAGCATCCTTGAAGCTTAGATCATCAGTGTCCGACTTGTTGGTGGTATCTGTCTTGCTCTGAGGCAGTGGGCGACCGCCTCCGCCGACCATTCCACCGCCAATCGTGCGGAGAGGGACCGAAAAGGATCGTTCTTCATTTTGTTTTTGGTACCCCGAGCTGGCATTCTCGGACGTGAATCGATGAAAGAGACGCTTGTAAAGCGGCCGGCAAACGGGGATGCCGACACAGATCTGCGACGGTCAGTTTCTGTAAGGTAATTGGAGTCTCGGGTCTTGCTTTGTAGGAATTACCATTGTAATAGCCATCTCAGCAGCTGACCAAACAATCAAACCCACACTGTCTCCTGTTGAGGATGGGTCAGTATTCGTTACAATTGTTGAGTTTAGGTGTTTGAGGTGGATGTACTCAGGTAGTTCGCCGTATAGAGGCCCTCTACTTCGACAGTACGCTTGATACCTGCTGCTGCAGCACTATTCGATCGAAAAGCTAGCCATATGAAGCCCTGAGCGGTGCAGAGAGAAGCGGCTGGTCAACGCACAAAAGTCCGAAGCTCATACTCGCCGCGATAGTGATCTTGTCGCGTTTTGGCATCTGTAGCTTCCAGATAAACACCCAAGGAAATATAGCGAAGAACGTATCGACAAGAATTGTAGACACTGAAGGTACGGTCAGCATGTGTTGACTCTTCATATTGTCTCGGCAGAGATGTAGCTCACCACATAGAATGTACGAAGTCGGCCTCGTATCAATGGGGCAGTATCCTCCCTCAATTCTGCGATCGTACACGTAGTCAAAGGGCACGCATGACAGCCAAAAACAAAGGACCTGTGCTATTGGTTGCAAATGTCAGCGGGACTGAAAAACTGGGCAGTGGGCAATTTTTGTTCGAGGAACATCCAAAGCTGAGACTACTTATAGAGACATGGGCAGTAAAGCCATTAGTCTTAATACTTACCAATAGAGGCGAGTCCCACAAGAACCATTGCCGTCCAGATAGCTATCTTATGCCATCCGAGTGTAACTATTCGTAGCAGAAAAAAGCCCATGGACCACTTCGCAATGGCCATCCCCACAATGGCGAATCCTTGGCCAATACATTCAAACAGAGTGGCACGAACTACTTCCTCCATGTTCCCGATCTCGTCCGGTGTTTGTCCGAAACCATGGTTGGCTGCTAGATGCGTGAAAATGTTGAAGATAAGAAGAAAAACCTGATGCGTCAAATGTCAGTCTTGGGGTGGATAAAGCCTAGGGCGAGCCATGCGCGAAGAGGAAGGGAAACTTACAAATGCGGCGATGTAGATTTGGTCATCGAGACCATATGATGAAAGGCACACTACGCGCGTATAAATACGTAGAAGAAGAAACAGAAAAACGAGTCCCGTCATAGACCACATGACAGGCAGAGCCCACAAGGCCTCACCGTCCATCGCCATGGTTTAGATTGGCGACAAAGTCAGAAAAATTACCTAAGTCTCTAGAAACAGAGTGAACTCTGTCGGGGAAGACGTGTTGTGAATGGCCTCGATCTTGGTGATGAGATTGATAGCTTGCAGAGTATGTTACAGTACGGAGAGGCCACAACTTTCATCAGCTGGAAACCTTTGGCAATAAGTTCCGTCCACAGCTCGTGGAGATGCACCAGATAGATGTCTACAAAGATCTGCCGGGAATTTGCCGACGGTTATCACATCACAATCCAACAGTTGGTCAATTCAACTCCACACAGTTGATTTGAGAGGTACAGCATATCCAAACATTCTCTCACAGTATTATAGGGGCACTGGGATACACACAAGGTTCAACGGCTGGTACGTATCAACCAACACTGCCAGCCATGAGCTCCAACATAAGACCGGGGACGCTTCTTCGACTCTGCTGGTGTCCGGGACTTGTGACCCTGCCGCATGTTCCTACAACCGATCTCTGGCAAACACATAAGGGTGTTGATTTTCTGTCACCAGGGGCCTTGTTTGCCAAGGTAGAAGGAGGTTCTTGGTGCATTTCCGTCATCCCAAGGACCCAAATGTCGCTTTTCTTCTGAGACGAAATTTTCATGGTGGATTTGGGAATCTAATTGCACAGATCGATCTTGGGGGTTTCCGATACGGAAAACACAGCCTTGATCCATAGGTGTTTCTGCAAGACATCAAATAGTGTTAGTCTAGATCATCAACAAAGGACGGAGTTAGCGACGTCTAAACACCAGACGTCCTTCAGTCTATGTCGTCATTAGTAGCGTGAGACATTCAAGCAAAGCTACGCAGACTCTCGTGTTGGTTGCTCCCTGTGGAATCATCCTAGTCTTAGACGAGCTCGGCGGAGGGACACGTAATGACTTCCTCGTCTGTAACCAAATTCACTAGGTTGGTTGGTATTTTGTTCCCTGGCTCTGCTCGTGAACCAACACGTTCTCCAGCAAACTGCGTTTGGGTTCCACAATCTAGATCCTTACTCAAAAAGCAACCGAGCTTCTCAAGCGAACCGGAGCAGACCAATTTCAATCCCGGTGTAAAAAGATACCCACTGGAGAACCAGGTCCCCGGTTGGCCAAGTCCAAAAGATCCGCCAAGTTTGCTCAAAAGTCGCGGAATCAGCCTCCCGTTCACCCGTCGCCACGCCCGTTGGAACTCACACGTCAGTTGTAATGTTATGTTCCGAATCCTGGAGTCTAGATTGAGTATAGATCCTCGAGGAGGCCCTGGCCGTTGCCAAGATTTTGGCCATGGCCAATCATAGCCCTTCTATTGGTGTATTGTGCGTTCAATCGTTGCTATGCAGTTATGCATGAGTGTGATGGTCGAACGTAACACCACGCTGCTACCCGTACAAGCGATCTGTCATTGAATGTACACCGTTCACCATCCTGACTGATTGAGGTCTAACGCAAGAAAGATCAACTGGTAAACCAGCAACACAAACGCTGAGATCATTGTTGCGACCGATTTTGGGGAAGAAAATTGATGGGACACTTGAGTGGCTGGGTTTGAGAACGTGCCCAGCCTCGGAGACCTGAGCTCATTTTATCACATGTAAGAAGCCCAACTCTCCTCACAGTTATGGAGCAAAAGTGCTTGCTAGCAAACGTACCATTGCATCTCGACCCAACATCAGACAGCTGTATGGCGGCATGGCCCCTCCGCCAAGAGCAAGGGTCCCCGCATATCATTTCTACAAAGTTGCAAATAAGTCGGATGGGATGACACAGGAAAACATGGAGCGTTGCACTTGCAACCAACAGCTTACTGCGGATCTATCTCTACGCAGGGTATCACAAACAATTCGTGTCGCTGCCTCCCTCGTCGTTTCTGCCGACCCGCTTATAGAACCCGTGGGCACGTTGATTCTCAATACCCTGACTGTCATTTGTTCCTCTCTTTCTTCAATCATAACACATACCGGGCCTTCTCGACTCATGTTCGTGGTTGCAACAGCTCTCACTCATTGCTATGGATTCTCTGCCTTCGTCTACTAACGGGACATCGTCCTCGTGGGAGTCCGTCTTCACGAATGCTCAATCCCATAAGGCGAGCATCGTGTTGCTCACTCCTACTATCGGCATCGTTCTCTGGTTCTTCGCCTCCTGGCAGACTTCTTCACTGAAAAGATACCCTGGTCCTTTTCTAGCAGGTCAGTCCAGTCACAAATGTTTTCACCTACAGACTTCCGTCTATCCACAGAACGGAAGAGACTATCTGTGATGCGAATAATACTTACCGTGCCCTAGGATGGACCAACCTATGGCGTCTTTGGCAAGTCATCTCAGCCGACTATGCCCCTCGAATGAAGAAGCTCCATGAGAAGTACGGGCCCGTAGTACGACTGGGCCCGAATCTCCTAGACATTGACATACCAGAGTTGGTCAAGGTCATCTACAGCACCGACGGAAAATGGACAAAGGTAGGTTCGCCAAACGACTTACAGAACACTCAAAAACTTATCAATCGTTTCCAGTCAAACTTTTACCAGAACAGCAGTTCCATAATCAATGGCAAAATCACATATCACATGTTCAGCGAAGTCGACAATGTCGAGCACGCCAGATTGAAGAGGCCGGTGGTCCGACACTACTCCGTTCCCAGCGTGCTCGCAATGGAGCCACACATGGATCAGGTCATTGACGAGTTTTGCGATCATCTTCAAAGCCGATTCGTCGACACTGGCAAGACTTGCGACTTTGGTGACTGGTTAGCATACTGTAAGCACAACTGCCATCGCACCTTTCTTGGGCCTACTATCTAGTCTAGTACCCTTTCTCTGACATTCGGATCGCAGATGCATGGGACTTCCTCGGCTACGTCACATTCAGCAAGAAGTTTGGCTACATGGACGCAGGCCGCGACTTTGACGGCACTCTAGCCATCGGAGACCAGTCGATCGACTACCTGGGCCTCTGCGGTCAGATGCCGTGGATGGACTACTGGCTCGACAAGAACCCGGTCTATCCTCTCGGCCCACCAAATATCTCCAACGTGACCAGAATCGCTGTTGAGAACATGACTGAGCGCCTCAAAGGCGAAGATACAAACTTTACGCCGGAGAAGCCGGACTTCCTGCAGTATTTCATCGATTCCAAGGGAACGCATCCTGAGATTGTCAATGAGGGTACAATCATTGGGTATCTCCTGTTGAACTGTGAGTTCTACACTTACCCCGTCTGTCAAGATTGTGTTCGATGGGAACAGGGCTGATGCAAGATTACAGTAATCGCCGGCGCTGACACAACAGCCATCACCATGCGCGCCCTATTCTACTACTGCCTCAAGAACCCCCGCATCTGGAAGCGCCTCGAAGCCGAAGTCGTAGCCAACATCCCCAGTGACAAGCCGGCATCCCACTCCGCCGCCCGCGCCCTCCCCTACCTCGAAGCAGTCTGCCGTGAAACGACCCGCTACCACCCAGCCGTATCCATGACGATGGAGCGCATCGTCCCCGAGGGCGGCCTTGCGCTCCCCGACGGCTCCGTCGTGCCCGGCGGCTCCCTCGTCGGCATGAACCCGTACATTGTGGGCCGCAACAAGAGTGTCTACGGCGAGGACGCCGACGAGTTCCGCCCCGAGCGCTGGCTGCGGCAGGAGGCTGAGGGCGAGGAGGCGTATAAGCTGCGGATGAGGCAGTGGAACGCGGCGGATATTACGTTTGGCGGGGGGTCGCGTATTTGTCTTGGAAGGAATTTGAGTCAGATGGAGGTGTACAAGGTTGTTCCGTCGCTGATTTCGAGATTCGAGATTGAGCTCGTGGATCCGAATGAGAAGTGGTGGACTAGCTCGCGGTGGTTTTACCGGACAAAGGGAGTTGTCTGTCACTTGAAGCGCAGAACCGCAAAGGTGTAGGCCGGTATTGCGCTGGAGGCTGTCAAACGAAACGTGGGCGAATATCCCGCTCATCTTACGTTCATGAGAAGGAATCGAAAGACTGATCAATGTACTTGAAGGTTGATTACTATTACTATGCTATAACACACACGCAAACTCCATTCATGCGGTGGGCGCGAATGTGCCGTTGGCGCACTCGAAGCCGAGGTTAGGGTTGAGCGTCGGCATCGCGTTCATGCAGATGAGCTTGGGGGCGCCGCAGCTCTGGGGGTGTATCTTGATGTCTCTGGCCTGGAAATTCTTGCAAGACGTCTGGGTGTTGCACTCAATGATGACGGCCTCGGTGTGGGTGAGGTTGGGCAGTCCAGCGTTGTACCAGCAAGGCTGCGTATCATTGTCAGCATCCATGTACTCGTCACAAATCGAACATCTGAAGACGTGTGAGGTGTGAGAGAAAAGACTTACGTTTGTGGTGCAGGATCCGTCACCAGGGTTGTTGGTGTTGATGCTGCCGGAGAAGTGCTCCCAGGTAAAGTCCTCCATCATGACGGACGAGTTGTTGGGCCTGTCGCCGCCAGCGCTCGCCTGGTTGAAGTAGGTCTGCGTAACAAAGATGGGGAAGGTAACGTTGTCGAGGCGGATGTTGCTCCAGGTAATATTCTTCGCCAACCCCTGCCCACCAATCCAGCTCTTGAAGCGCGCAGCATACAGCCCGCCGTGGACATCCACGTCCTCGAAGCGGATGTTCTTCACATCAGCTACAGAGGCGACCTTTGAGCCTAGCGAGCCGACGCTCATGCCGTGGGTCTCGAAGCCGATGGTGGCGTGCTTGAAGAGGACGTTGTTGGCGCCGTCGTTGATGGCGATGGCGTCGTCGCCGTTGAAGATGTTGCTGTTTGTGATGGTCACGTCCGTGGCGCCGACGTCGAAGCCGTCTGTGTTGAAGGGGAAACTGCTCGTCTCGGAGCGGGCGTCGATGACGGTGTCGGAGATTGTGATGTTCTTGCCCTTGATGGAGAAGTTCCAGCCGATGGGCTTGAGCGACTTCATGTTCTTCATGACGCCGTTGGTGACGCTGAACTGCATGAGATGGGGCCGGTTGGGCGTGCCGGCCTCGCCGGGCTTGTTGGCGTCCCACCAGGCTTGTCCATGGGACTTAATCCATCCGGCGTGAGGCTGTAGAAGAGGATTGTGAGTATCAATTGAGATATTGTCAGGGTATCACAGTCAAAAAAACATACATCAGTTGAGGCGATCCATTGAACGTTGGTGCCGCCGATTTGGAACCATGTGAGCGTGCCGCCCTTGGCAGAAACAAGAGCCTGAACGGTGGGGATGTCCTCGGGCAGAGTGATGTTGCCGTTGACGGTGATGACGACGTTGGAAAGCTTGGTGGCGACAATCGGCTCGTAGGCCTTGTACTCGACGCCCTCACGGAAGATGATCTCGGCATTGCTAGCGCACTTGGTGAACGCCTCGGCGATGGCAGCCGCGTCCGATGTCGCATTGCTGGAGGGCGAAATAACGCATTTCGTCGTCTGCGCGAGCGCGGGGGCCGCGAGAGAGAATGCCACTGGCAGCAGGTTGCGGTACAGCATGTCGGCGGCGAAGAATCTAGAGACCGTGGGTTGGCGTTGAGAGAGAGGGTGAGCAGCTCAGTAGCGACTCAAGTTATCACGGCGGCCAAGCCGGGTTGTTATAAACATCTCAAAGCTTCGCCCCCGAGTCGTGGGACCCTCTCATAATGAGGGGTCCACAATGGAGAGGAAGGGTAACATCGGTCTCCCGGGTCAGAGCATATCGAAAATGGTACACCCGCAGATCTTCTTGGGAATTTTTTTTTTTTGAGTTGGGTTGGGATTCCCGGGATGGCGGTGGTTTTTTGCGGAGATGAGACTAGTATCAGGTAAGGAGAGGCCGAATCTTAACGGCTTACTGACGTTGGTCTCGGTGGGCAAAAACAGCCTCAATTGCGGAGGGGAGAGGGGAGTGTAGGAGTCAGGGGGTGTCCCAAAAGGGGGATAGGCAAACGAACGCGAGTTCAGACGATCCACCGTTGCGGGTGATTGGATGGAAAATTATTCCCCGTTTCCTTGACTGACCTTGCAAGTTGCGCTATGGGATTGAGTCCTTGCAAGCTGCAGAAAGAGATCATCCGCACGTGTTGAAACTTGGTCCGTTTACCAGTTGGTAGTAGTGATCCCCGCGCTTGAACTTGCGCTTGACTAGGACCAGGGCCGGATGTGCGGCACACTACCCTGCGGCTCTTTTTCTCATGCTCTGCGAGGTGAAGACTTGGCGTTGGATCAGGAACAGAGAGGCAATGTCAGTTGAGAAGAGACTAGAAGATTTTCGCTGGCAGAATTTATAGCTGGTCTGATAAAATGACATTGCTTGTCAATTTGCGTGGTGCGACAAGTCATATCAAAGACACAGCCCTACGCACCTTGTCAATCTAAGACAGGGTGAATTAATCAAACCTTGTGCCATCTCAAGGAGCAATTTCCGGCTAAGCTTTGGGACGCAGTCTATATTTTGAATTTGAGCTTGCATGGATGCCACGAGATCTCAGATGAGCAGCACTTTAGTAGCATCTGTCAGCGGCCAGCGGGCAGACCAGGATTAGTTACGTGCCGTTGTCACTTTGTCGGTCTGATATATGGAAACTCAATGGTACAGACGGCAAGTGATTGTTCAGAAAGTCTCGATTTCGAGGTTCTCGACTTTTTTTACAAAAAATTCCTAGGTCCAAAGAAAGAACTCGTTGGAAGAAAAGACTGTATACGTGAGTTTCATCCAACAGACTTGTCGTCGTGGGCATCGAAGAAGCCAAGCCGGAACCCCGTCTGGATCGACAGATTGAGAAGGCCGGGCCCGGCTCGGCAGTCTCGGCGCCCCGCTCTTTCCCGAGTGGTCGAAGCAGCCCCGGTCCTCCTTTGGCATCCGATATCGAGAACAGTGTCGTCGTTTCCTATCAACTTGCCTTGATCTATACTAGGGGCATACAAGACAAGTCATGCCTTGAGGTTTAGGCAGTCCAATGTTTTGAATTACATTCGATGAATGATTTGGTGTCGGGTATCATACACATGCCACGTCTCACTCCTCCTGCTGATGCTCTTCCGCATCAACCTTACCTCTCACCGGGGCGGCGGCCGCTGGTCTCGGCTGAAGCCCCTTTTGCTGGTCCAACTTCCTCCTCTCCCACGGCTTCAACTTGGTCTCCTCGGCCGGCCCATCCACCTCCTTGGCCCACTTGACCCAGTCGGAACGCCTCGTCTTCCACATGTCACCCTTCCACGTGCGCCAGACGCTGCGGCCCATCCAGGAGTCGCGCAGGGCCCTCTCGTGCTCCGCCAGCGCGCCGATGATGGTCTGCTTGACGTGAAACGGGATCGACCGGTCTGTGCCGCGGGAGGGCACCTCGATGATGGCGAGCACGATGTTGTGACCAAACTGCGACTGGGCGAGCTCGGCCGCGTGCGGGGCAATCGCACCGACGAGCGCCTTGTGGAAGAACTCGTTTTGGGGGGCTGCCGGGGTGGCGAGGGCTGTCGTCAGGACGGTCATTGATGCCATTGACGTGGTTGCGAGCTTGACGAGGAGGTCTGGGGGCGTGGCGAGGAGGGATTTCTGGGCGACCTTGACGGGATTGCCTGAGGTCTTGAGCATAGCTGTTACGAGTTGACAGCCGTGGTTGGCGACGGCGGTCTTGTTCTGTGGGCCATCCTGCTGGAACTTCTTGTCGTCTGCGGCAGGCTCTTCCTCGACGAGATGGCACAGCTTCGGCACTACGTCCTTGGGGTTGGAGCCGAGCGCGTCGGTGAGGGCTCTTGTGAGCGCACTCTTCTCCTCATATGCGCCACGGGCCTCGCAGCGCTCAAAGAGGGTCTTGAGCACGTTGTACCGAGCCTTGGTCACCAAGAGGGGCACGGCGGGGACAATCTTCTTGACGGCCTCGACGAGGTCGTCCTTGCTGGCACGGTTCAGAACGCGGAGGGCGGGGTACGAGGCAATGTCGTTGCGGACATAGGTTGCGATGCGCTCGCCGAAGAAGTTGCGAGAGAGCGCCTTGAAGATCTTGCCGGGGCAGTTTGTGAGGAGCGTTTCGAGAAGGCGAGATCCGATCTGGTCGTACACCATGCTGTTGACAAAGTCTGCCGCCTGCGATGACTCGTCGCTCAGAGATTGAGGTGCGTCGGGCAACAGCCTGTACAGCAGGGTGTCCTTTGTTGATGCTGCGGATTCCTTGTCGCTCTTGTGGTTGAGGGAGATGTCGAGCTCGAGCAGGAGCTGGAGGAGAGGGTTGCCCGTGGGGTGCTTGGCGAGCACGCGCAGCGCGGTAAAGTCCATACCAGAAACAGCATCCTGGATGATCTTCTTGGTGGCCATGGTGAAGGATTCGGGAACGGCCCTCAGCTGGTGGGTGAGTTCGTCTGCGGTTGCTGTGGCTCCCTGGACGGAAATGTACTCCTTCTTCTTGCTCTTCAGCATCGACTTGGTAGCTGCGTCGTCCAGTGGTCTTCCAGACAGAACGACCAGGAGCACGCGCAGGGTATGAGACCCGAATCTGTCCGTCAGGAGGAATCCCATGTGCTGTTCGAACTCATCGAGGGTCATAAGGAAGAGATCCTCCATGGTGTTCTCAGGCGTCGGCTCGCCGTCCTCCTCAGTATCCATCTCGTCGTCCGCCTTTGGTTCCGGCACGATACCTCCCAACTCTTGTGTCACAACGGGTGCCGATTCGAGGAATAGCTTCTCGCAGCAGTGACTGGCAAATCGATGCTGTACCAGTGACAGGAAATGAGTAGCAAAAGCGTTGAAGATCTGCTTCTTCTGTCTTGTGTTCGAAAGGATAATGAGGCGCTCCATGAGTCGTGAAAGCGATTGACTGCTGGCCAACTTCAATTCCTTGCCCCGCGCCTCCTTGTACACGTTTTGCAGGAAGACGTCGCGCTCCTCGGACGAGGGAAACTGGTTCAATTCGAGCAGCTCGTCGGCGCGGCGGAAGTATTCCTGTTCCTCGTCGGCAAGCATTCCGAAGAACTCCACCTCGGGCCCATTGCCACGAAATGACTGCTCCTGCTCGTTCGCCGCATCGTCGAAGGCGGGCTGTTGTTCGCCATCCTGTTCCTCGTCCTCGACCCGCCTGCGCTTCGACGATCGTTCCTCTTTGTTCGCCTCGTAATTGTCTTCATTCACCTCCCTCCTCTTCTTCTTTCGCTCGTCGCGGATCGCTTGACGTTTCGTTCTCGGCTTCGGCATTGTGATTGAGGGCTGGAAATTGCAAGGCGAAAGGTATTTTGCTGGGGAACTGGGCGGGTTGGTTGTACCGAACACTGGAGAGACGTACTGAGTACCTCAAGAAAAAAACTTTTGGGCTCCTTTATCTAATCTCTTATCTTATCTGGAGCCACCCCACCACCCACTCCTACCTTACTGTCCCTCATCCAGGCTCATCATCCATGCTCCCCCAGAAATGTCTCCTCTGTCTTCCATCTAGGTTCGCTTCGATTCTTCTCATCTCTTGGTCTACTTTCATGCCTGAAAGATGCTTCTAGCTCTTCTCACTTATAAGATCTCTTCTTATTTGATCCTTCTGTCATCCAAGCTTGTCTCGGTCACAGGTAGCGCCATCAACGCCCAAACACATTGCGCACGCAGCATCTCGTCTATGAACCTTCTGCTGGCATTGGTTCGGCCGAGTCTATCATTTAAGACATCATTCTTCGATGTATTTATATCGAATTGCACCATTTTACCACATGATTCTCTCGCACTTACGCCGCAATCTCCTTGCCGACTTCTTCTAGCGCCTTGACCAAGCCCTCGACGGTTCCCTGTAGGGTCTGACAGTTGACGACAACCCGGAAGAAGCTACCTCGTTCCCCAGGAGCATAGTCGATCATGAAGCCGCGCTGTATCAGCTTGTGGACCATTTCGCTGGTCCGTCTCGTGTTCGCCTGGGGTTCCTCTGCAAGCTGGCCGTTTGGCGCATAATAGAAGCAGACCTGCAAGCAAGGTGGCGGGTTCGACGAGACCAGGACAAAGTTGTCGCTCTTCTGCACCAACGTCGCGAGGTGCTCCGCCAGGGAAAACGCATGATCAATCTGCTGCTCGAAGCCGCCGGCGCCATAGTAGATCCAGGCCAGCGCCAGCTTCAGACTGTCGCCCCTACGTCCGCACTGGAGGGTCAGGTCCGCCAGATCCCACACGTCCTCGGCCTCGTCCACGTTGTGGAACAAGTACCCGGCAGGCAAGGTGTTTGCCTTGTGGAATACCTTCTCGTCCGGCGTCAGCAGGAACGAGCACGTCACGGGCACGTTCATCATCTTGTGTGGGTTGACCGTCAACGAGTCGGCTAGATGGGAGCCCTTGAGCTTTGCCTTTTGCTTCCCCGAGAAGATGGCAGACCCTCCCCAGCTGGCGTCGATGTGGAACCACAGGCCAAACTCCTTGCAGATGCTCGAAATCTCCTCAAAGGGGTCGTAGGAGCCCATGACTGTCGTCCCGGCGGTCGAGTTGACGTACAAGGGCGTCTTGCCCTCGGCTTTGGCGCGGACGACGAGCTCGCGGAGGGCTTCGGGGATCATGCGTCCGGCGTCGTCGATGGGCACGGCCCATACGCTCGACGCGCCGAGGCCGCAGGCGAGAGCGCTCTTCTCGACAGAGTAGTGGCCGTGGGCGCTGGTGAAGATGACAAAGTCGTGCGAGCCGTTGCCGGAAGCCTTTGTCTCGGGGTAGAGGGCGCTCCGCGCCACGACGAGGGAGGTCAGGTTGGAGGCGCTGCCGCCCTGGCAGGTGACGCCGCCGGCGCGGGGGCCGCTGAAGCCGAAGAGGTTTGCAAACTTTCGTGCCGTGATCTTTTCGATTATGCTCAGTGCAGGCGAGACTTGGTAGACGTGGAGCTTGGTTTACTTAGCAAAGACAATACCGCAAGACCAGGGGACAGGTGAACTTACATTTGTGTTTAGGACAGATAGAACGAGATCGGAGACGACGCCAACCTGTGAAAAGTCAGAGCTTCATCCAGCGCATCGCGCATGTATCAGAAGGGTTGCGAACATACCGGAGTATTGCTTGCATACAACTTATCCATGAAGCCCTGATCCCAGGTGTTGACGCTGTACCTAAGGATCTTTTGCACGACATCGAGCAAGCCCTCCCTACCGAGCCCATCGCCCTCGGGAAGAGAGAGCTTCAACTTTTCGACCAACGCCTCAGGCTTCTGGGTGTCGACCAAGACATTGCTGGGGACGCCTTCAATGTCAACGGATGTGAAGCCGTTGGCCTTTTGGCCAGCTGCCTCATCGGCTGCTCTGATGTACGGGACGATCAGACCCTTGACGGCATCGAGCAGCTATTGAACAGGGAGCAGGCAGATCAGTCGGGATGTCCGGGCAGCATGTCGCACCCAGCATAGCTGACGATGCTGAGACACTTACATCCTCTACTTCCTCGGCTCTTTTGAGCGTCTGCGGGACTGCATGGTGCCCATTTGTGCCGTTGGTGCCGTTCATCGTTGTTGTGCTGAGAGATTGAAACTTCCCTTTCACCGGAAGTCTGAGAAAGTTTCGAAAATTCTTTCAGAAATGTCAGAAGCTCAGACAGTGAAAGTTTCGCCAAAATTACCGCTCAAACTGGACAGAACGGAATGAATTGTTGGTATATCCAAGTCCTCAAATCGCTTGCTCGGTCCACTCTATGTTTCTCCAATGTCGACTCCAACCAGAATGAGTAATAACGTTTGGAGAAATTCTTCAACAGCCGGCGTTTATTCCCCGATGACGGCACATCGGAGCAAAGTGGCGCGAGCCCACCTTTACCCACCCGGCTGGGAAACTAGCCGCAATCGCCGAGTCTGTGCCGTGTACGGCATGACAAGGATCTAGCGTTTCCAGCTTGAAGATCGAGTGGTGGGGTTAACAGCGTCGCCGCGATCACGTTTCCAAATCTCACTGACACAAAGAGCCAAATTCTTAAGAAATGTCTGTATTCCGGTTTCACACTTAAACATATTCAGAGTCCTCAATTCTCCACTCAAAAGTCAGACGCAGCATCTACATTCTGCTCCACACGCATACCGCTGGGCAGGTTGTCCTTGACTGCATCCTTGATCACCTCACCGCCAGTCCTCATAGCCTGAATGATGCCAGCCGCAGGCATGGGAACGCCGGCCTTGTGTAAAATGTCTGTTTGCTCTGCGATTGCGTCGATGCGGCTCTGAAGGCCGTCGGAGATTTCCTGCTGCTTCTAAAATGAGAAAGATGTCAATGTAAGCGATGTTCGTTTATGCAGAAAGTCCATCAGTCCGGAAAGGCACAAGAGCTCACCTGAGCAACAAGCTCATTGATAGCCTTATTCGCAGCATCTGTGAAGTTATTGAGCTCGTCGCGCTTGAGAGCGATTTCTTCAGCGGTTTTTGCGACCTTGCTTAGTTTCGTGAGAAGGTCAAGGCCCGGGTTGACGTATTTGGCGTGCACATTGGTATACATCTGGCAGGTCATCTGTAGAAGATCAAAGTATGCTTTGATCTGCAGAGTCGATATGTAGATGGTCTCGATGTCGAGATCATTCAGCTTCAGCATACCCTTCTGAGACGCCTCCTCGCCAAGAGCGGTGACATCAGTGTCAAAGTTCTTCACCTTGGTTTCAATGATGACCTTGACCATGGTAGAAAGAGCGTTGAAGAAGGTAGTTAGCTTGCTGATCTGCACCTTAAGCTCAACCAAAATGGCGATGCATTCAATCAAGATCTCTTTGACGCGCTCAAGAGCTTTTCCAGTAATCTCGATGCCCTTGAGCTTAGTCTGAATCCCAGTCAGCCTCTTCTGAACTTCCGCGGCAGCCGCTACAGCATTAGTATAGTTGGTCTGAGCAGTCTCGAGGGCCCTTTGATTGAGGGCAAGTTTCTCGGTGGCCGTGCAAAGGGCGGCAGTGACGGCACTATTGTCCTTCTTGTCCACATAAGTGTTATTCAACTTTGGTGCGTTCGAGGAGGAGCCAGGGAACGACTTTGCTGTAGCTTCAAGCTTTGTGACGGCAAGCTTCGCCTTGGTGATGGCATCTTGCCACTTCTTGATGGAGGCTGGGTCAGTCTTGGCGGAAGTAAAACTTTGCTGATTGGCGACCTCCTTCTTGATGTCCTCGACGATAGCAATACTGGAGTCAAAGACAGCGATCAGCTCAACGCTAGGTTGACCGGTACCCAGCTTTGCAGACTTCTGTTGCATCTCGAGGTTGGTGAGGAGCCAAGTCAGGCCCTCAGTACCGGCTCCGTTCTTAGACGCCTGATCCTTGAACTTTGACCAGTCGGGGGTATTACCCTCACCAGCAGTAAGATAAGTCAAGAGCGTGGTGATGAAGGGGGCAAGAAGAGGGGCTGCGACATAGGCAGGATCGGTCTCAGGAGTTGCGTCGTTGAACTGGAGGGTTGCGCCCCCAGGCTGACCGCCTTGATGGGCACCGAGAAGAGCCCGGGCAAAGGGCGGTGCACCCGCAGCGTTGAGCGCACCTTGGCGACCAATTTGAGTTAGCCCATTTACAAGTCCATTGACTCCAGTCATGGGATTGGCGGCACTGATAATGGCAGGCAGTGCCTGGGCAATAAGCACGGGTCCTGCCGAAGTAATAGAGGTCAGAGCACCCATAGCGCAGGTCTCCCAAGCTGCGAAAAGACTTTGTTAGTGATTTATGATATTATAATAGGTGAGACCAAGTCAAGTTACCAGATGGCACAGCATCGTTGGCGGTTTGAAACGCCTTCTCCTGCTTCTGGAGCGACTCCTTCATCTCTTCAGAAGCCTTGTCGGCCCTCTCGAGTTCCTTGTTTGTGTAACTTGCCTCGATCTCGGCCCGTAACATAGCGCTTAGGTTCGTTTGAGACTGCTTCTCAGTCTTCCCGTGTTCCTGAACAGAGGCCTGATGGAACTCGGAAACAGCCAGAAGCCAGGTATCAAAGGCCTTTTCGGTGTCCTGGGCGTAGTTGAGGCAATTGTTGGACATCCTTCGCAACTTTACAAGCTCGTTCGTTAAGTTGCGCTGAGTGTCTGGGAGACCCTGGATGGCCCTGATAGTGCGAGCGATGGTCTCTATGATCTCGGAAGACTGGCTAGCAATGGATGACATGTTGCTTCCCGCAACGCGAAATGCCTTGTCACCCTCGCTGGCAACAAATACCAGACACGCTCTAAGAGTTGGATCTTGGGCGACACTAGAGAGATTTAGGTTACTATCACTTCGGAATGCCTGAAGAACTAATGAAGGGGAACGAACCGCAGATACTTGAATCCCCCAGTTGGGACAGAGTCTTTCAAGCTGATAGCTGCGGCGTCGGGGGATGCCGCGGCAACATGGCAGGAACCAACTAATGTAGTGGCAGTTGGAGCTGCGGAAAGAAGCTCATTCCAATTGTATTGAAAAAGAAGGGATTCCTTGACCTCCTGAACAAACTGGGCTCCCGCCTTGCCTCCATGAGTCTTCCTCAAGACGGCCTGTTGAGCGGCTTCAACCTTGGCGAGATTATCAACAGACATTCTAACAATAATTGAACGAGGAAATCAGATTTCTTGAGGGGTAATGGTAATTTGTGCTAGAGCAAGGTGATGGATAGTAATGGTTATTCAAAAGCCCATTTGGAGTGAATTCGATGAGGGAAAACGGCTTCTTTATACAAGATAACGAGCCAGTTTTTCATTTCCTGCTTTAGGAGCTCCAGCTGTACAGAACTATCATGCTCAGCTAAGCCTCTGGAAAGCTGATCACTATGGCATTACGGAAGCTGAGACCTTCGCAGCTTGCGGTGCAGATTTCGAATAGTTCCTGTATCTTGAGTTCTGTCTGTAGACGCACCAGGCTTTACAGACTCAACATCCTTCGCCGATCCTCACTATGGGTGCAGTAGCATAGGATCTGTCTTCCTACATGCACGCAGCCACTGGTCTACGCTCATGCAACTGCTGTTCATTGGCTCTTTTCCCGCGTCACTGTGTGGTTGCTTTACTTGAATGACTTTTCAGCCAGCCAGAGAACATCTCAGGGAGTGATTTCGCCGAAAGCGTCTCTGGAAACAGTTCGCCCGCACTTCTTTTCACGCTGCGATAGTGGTCACTATACGCTAAATAAATCTTCAGCCAGCCAGAGAATATCATATGAAGTGGTTTTTCTCAAAGCCTCTCCGAGAACAATTCTTGAATGCAATTTTGTCAAAGAGACTTTCAGATAGGTAGCGCAATTGAGACAGACGGCACCTCTCTCCGGCTTCATGCGGCTGAGGCCGATGACAGCGGAGAGTGAAGGTTAGCGGCCGCGAAACAACAAATTGAGACAATGCTTGCGGCTGGGGGCAAAAACTACCGAATGGGAAAGTTCAAGACATCATTGTAGGAGAGCATCCCTTTCGGCGCCTTCCGTGCTCTGGATTCAATATTTTCAGCGTTGCGATGTACCATTGGCTCGACAGACCAAAGCTGAAGGAAAGGTTCTCTATCATGCCACTGACTTGCCAAGAAGGGATCACAATCTGAAGGAGGTATTCGGAGAATGAACCAATCGCAAGATGTGGTATTTGGTCTGAAAGCCCTTTGCTTAAACAGGGTCTCACTCCTACAATCTTAATAGGGGACCATCGCTCAGTGGGATAGCCAGGTACCTTCACTCTGCATTCTTGATATTGAACAGATTTATATTTCAGAATTCTCTTTTCTTTTCTATCACAATGTACAACATATATCTTGACTCATTCCACGATTTTCAGTCCATGTCGAACGAGTTTCAGAAACGTCTTGCAGAGCAGCGTGCTGAAGATGGCACGCTTTTCAGTGAAGCTGCCGCTTTACTAGACAAGACCAATGATGCCGCCTTTGAAGGACTTGAGACCTTAGTTGTCCAGCTTCTACAGATAGCAGATGGCGATTCACCTGTCGGTAAAGACGCTGTACCACAGCTCCCCATTGCTATCGAACTCTTCCACAAGTTGGCCAAGTCCTGTGAAGGTTCTGTTGACCGTATCGGTCAGGAATTCATAGATACGACTCAGTACGGCGGGGAAAACAAGCAACTTCACGATGACATCCAGAAACTCCTCGTCGACATCACTGGGGAGATCCGTAGCGCAGAAGGCGCGCTTCAAAGGGCTCAAGACTCGTCAAGGAGCTGCTTTGAGCGTCTGACGACAGCTAGGCGCAATTTGAAAGATGCGGAAAATAAGAAAGATGTGAGCGAGCTTCATATATCGTAAATTTGTTTCGGCTGTCTGCTTAACGTCAGGTGTAGGACTGGTACGCGATATCTTCTTTTTTTGGAGGGGGCGGAGACATCGACAATCAAATCCGAGTGAACGAGCAAAACGTCAAAGACTGCCAACGAAATTTGGACGATGCAGAGACGGATGAGATTGACTGCGAGAATAACCTTTCCAATCTGCAGAGCTTGGTCCCAAGGGTACAGGAGCTTACCAGACTCCTGGATGATCTCTTCTGGCAGATGAATGCCGAGTACGAGAAGATCGTCGAGGACAGAAAGATCATCGAACGGACTTGGGTAGCTACTAGGACGCTTGACTACCACGTTAGCACCAACGATGTCGACACCTCTCGCGATGACATTCTACGCCATGTGATACAATTGATTCACATAAGAGTGGAACAAGTGGATGAGGATCCGGATGTCCAGCGGTTCAAAGAGAACATTGAGAGACGGATGCGTGAAGCACTGGGCGAGGCTCTGGTGGAAGAGCTCCACCAGGAGAGGAGATTCCTTCCCAAGGAAGATGTCAACTTTTAGTCTATTTATGCTAATTTCAATTCTGAATTTGTTTCTTAATTCTCACTGTTGGTATACACGTAAGCAGGTCAGACCTTTCGGTCGCGACGAGATCAATAGGTCGGTCTATTTCGCGCGTGTGTAGGAGGGGAAGTTCGTGGGCAGAGCCCGCGCTCCCTCTGTGGGTGTAAGTGGGTGGAAGGGTCCGTCGCACGGGCCCAAACCGCCTACCTGCCTCCCCTACCTAACCGTCTACCTAGACTCTTTTCTGCCTCGTAATCCAACACTCACCTCTGAGACAAAAGAATGAGGAGTTGCCACCTGGGTAAGTCAAGGGCTCCAAATGCGTAGGAGTAGGGCAGCTGATGCCAGTGTCATAAGTCAAAGTGCAGAATCGATGCAATACCTAAGCATCCGCGGGTCGGGCCGTCGGCGCTCGGAACGATTTACGAAGGCATCCACGCACGAAAAACTGTTGACAGATTGAATGAGCTGAAAATGCAAATTATCTGTTGGTGGCTACCTGAGCTATGAATAAACCCCTCTGTTTACGGTGTCTTGTCAAATTTCAACCGGAGTTGTTTACAATGTGATCTTTTGCCCAGACGGACTGTCGCTCGCTAAGCCCTGGTGGCTGGCTGAGTTCAGACGACAGGCCGTCTCGGCTGTGATAGCCTTCCGAAGTCTGCCATGATGGGAGCGTCATCAGTGGTTTGTTATCCTTCCGAAAACGATCGCTTTTTGCGACCTATCGCTTGATACCAGACCCCTTTTCCCCCGATCAGACCAAACTCGAAGCCCAATAGACTCGCTGTGAAGAGACTGGCCAATGCTGTCCATACGATGCTTCCGAGTCGACGCTAGTCTACCTTACTTGCCCAAACACTTAGCAGGTAGATCGGCTCAGTCTCACATACGAAGAAGGTGGATACCGCTGCCTGTATGCTACATGGCAGCTTCTGCTGGTCATCAGAGAGCCTTATCATCAGGTCAGGCCTGCAATAATAGGCAGTGACAAATAAGGCCTTGGCTAATATAAGTAGAGATTATAGATAATCACCACGAGGCCTGGCGGGTATCCCACCGATTACATATCGACATCAGCACATGAATCTCTAGTTATTCTGCAGCTTCGAAAGAATCTCAATTTTGATGTGCGGGGATAAGGGCTATAGGGGTCGACGATCATAGAATTCACTATTACCCCTCATAGAGATACGAACCCTTGTACTAACGTTGGCCCACGATGATGGAATATGTCGAGTGATAGAGATGCGAGTTTGTGACAAGACATATTTGCAGTTAGAAAGGGAACTAGGCCGGCTGGCGGGGAGGGACCGGGTATGCGGAAGCGGCGGCGCTTCCTGAGCTAGTGCTGTGCGCGTAGCGTGTCAAAGGCCAGCCAGCCACGGGACGGAGATCGCTGGCACGTAAAGGTGCCGAGGCGCTGCTTGAAGCGGGGGTGGACATCTCGAAGCAGCTTGGATAAGGGTTGATCAATAACTTCAAGTCAATCACATTGCATAGATCGCAAAAACCCATTTCGTAGAAATTTGCCCGTTAGCATTAGATGGACGGAGGCGCAGACCTCCAGAAGACATGGTTTAAGACATACTCGCCTAGACTCAGCAACCCCACACCTAGCCAGCCACATGGGCTTTGTTGATTGATGGATTAGTTTGAGAGATCGATTTCCTATACGGCGATATGTTCATTGGCTGGGTACAGTGTCAACATTCAGGTTGTAAATGAGGAGCAAGGCATGGTTCGCCGGGCTTGCAAATCACTTCACTGGACGTGAAACAGGACAATACACACAGCTCAGCCAAGCAATTGACCTTGACAGACAGCACGTCACATATCTTTCAGGCCGGTTAGGATAGCGTCAACTGAAATGGTTTCACTATCACATTCATTAGCTCCGGTCTGGGTTGCGATCGATCCCTCAGCCGCATAAAGTCACCGAAACCAGCAGCCATGTATACGAGGCTTCTGTGTGGCTGGCGGATTGGAAGCAATACCTAAGAAATTTCATTTCGTCAGCCGATTGCCTTCACGAGACCACGACTGTTTGCCTTCCTTTTCGGACTAGTGATGTAGAGAAGCGTAGCTGGACCAGTCACCCCATCACTTATCGCACTCTCAGTCTCAAGCCATCTAAAGGTAGTTCAGCCGTAGTTCAGGAGTATTGCCATTTAAGCGACGCCGTATCTTTCAGCTTCGGCGGTCCCAGACACTTTTTCCCGTTTAGGAGTTGCAGAGACGGCACAAGGAGAAGTACCGATGTTCGCATACAAAATGCCACAAAGTGAGTCAAAGGCTGCAAAGATAAGTATACAGTCTGTACTGGAAAGCCTATTGAATAACAACACATTCGCGAACCCGGACACGAAAGTAAGTACTTTAAGTGAAGCTGCTCTCCCTTTTCTGTTGTACAATCAAAAAGTGCTTTACCGCCTTTCCTTCCTCCTCTACCTCAGACTTCAAATTCAGTACGCAGTCAATGATTTTGTTCAAATAGTCTTTTTGGCTGACAACTTAAAATAACTCATATTCTCTCCTCAAGAGGCCGCTTCAAACCGCTGCGCCTTCCGCCCTTCCAAGTTGTAGTAACCAGTGTCTTGCAAGATAAGCAACTCCATCTCAAACGATCTCGTAAGTCTCTTATTTCATTGATATTATGGTGTCTTCATCCAATGGTAACCGACCGGCCATAGGCAAGATGCAATCGAATGATTACAATGCAAGCATCGATATTGCAGACAAATATGCGAGCCTACCACGTAGCTCAAGCGTACTTGAGCTCATTACCAATTTCGAACAAGGGGAGTTCATGAAAAAAAACCTGAATCCCAAGTATCTATCGAACAACTTGAGCAAAGCTTTGCTTGAGGATCACCATGCAGAGGGAGCAGCCGAAGGGATCTGCGCGGCTGCGGTGATGCACTGGCTTGACACCGGCACCGTCCCCTCTCCCACCGAGGCAATGGCTGCAAAGCTAGCTCAAGTCCAAGGCTCCTTTGATACAGACAATGAGCGTGATTACTTGAAATGGTGCAGTAACCTGTCAGATCCTTCCCAGACCCTCACGAGAGTCAAAGACAGTAAGGGCATAGATCTCGACGACACCCAAAAGTTCATCAACTATCTGCTTGACAGCTGGGGCAAGATCAACACAAAGCTCAAGCTCTTTCTCATCCTATCTTTCAAACAAGGCGGCAAACCATGTGCCCATGCGGTTGGCTGGAACCTGGGGACCAGAAGCTTCTTCGATCCCAATTACGGCGTTTGGAAGGTCAACGCTCCTAAACCCAAAAATAGCATTTTGAAGATCATAACTTTTAGCAATGACTCCGATCCGGCCACAGTCATCGCCTGTTCAATTATTGGCTTGGATGAGATTCGCAAGAAATATGGAGATCCAGTCTCCGTTCAGGCTATCACTTTCTAATCTGTGTTTGGAAAAAGTTGTCTTAATCTATCGAGTGCGGAATTGCGTCGGTGCCACTTAGGGTAGTAACAAATCACCTGTCGCTCTACGACTTGTCTTAATGATCCCGTAGCAATTCGAGTAAGATACTGCACAAAATTGAAGAATCTGAAGAGAGATCAGCGTTGAGGGAAAACGCAGATGTATGTACTGACGCCATTCTACACTGGATGGGATAGAGGATTCATCCCTAGAGTAGATATTATTCATTGCGATTTCCTACAGATAATGGGCCATGATCCCAGTGCAGGGTAATGTTGTAGCTGATGCTCATTTTCTTCATAGGATTTCTTTTGGTCTGACCAAAAAGTATTGTTACTGACTGTGATAGCCGCTGGGAAGTTCTTTCATTGACAAGCAAGGTGTCGGGTTCAAGGAACTTAGAGATACGGAGGACCGAGGAGTAATTGGCCTGTAGAAATCCAGACAACTTGATATAATGAGTAGGGAGTAACACTCCCAGAACTCTCGTAGGGTGTGCTGCAGTGAATCGCGTTACATGCAGTACCCTTCTGACTATAAAAACTGGTAGCACGACATGATAGCAGATGCGAGAATTCAACCCACTGAGCGCCGTGTAAGGGTTCCAACCTTCGAGATGTCAAGAAGAGTAGAGCGCCCTTTATTCACTCTATCATCCGAATATCTGAGCCTGCTGGTTTAATGGAATGAATACCTACAAGTGCTTTGATCAGCATCTTCTTTGGACCCATCTATTTCATCAGGTTCGTTCCGTGTGACTCAATAGACGTCCTATACTTTGCAGACAGACACGTTCTCCTTTTCCTCGCATTTGAGTTTCTCAAGGAGAGGGCAATCAATCAATAGATGAAGCCTGTTTCAACGTACATAATCTGGACTTTCGAGAGTGGCTTGAAAGCGCAAGAGCCCCCGATCGGAGGGGAAGCGGCACAGTCAGATCTTTCCCATCAGCCCGGATTCGTCCCAATGAATCGCCGTGCCAAGCATGTGGTTTAGCGGTGTCTCACCCGGAATGTCACCGGTTACCGGGAGCCGATTTTCCTTCTGCCCTGCTCCGGATCCCGATGATGCATGGTGACCTACATCTATTTGACTTTTCTGTTGTCTGTTTTATTGTGAGACCCCCCTCGCGCCGTTGAGCGGCGACTTTCTTCCCTGGTATACCTCTCATCGACTAGTCATTCGTGATACGGAAACAATCGAGCACACAGGGGCTGCTTGTAGGAAAATTGCTGGCTACGAAGGTATAGTATACTAGAAGCGCGCGATATGTGTGCATGCGATGTCAAGTCAAGCTATGGACTCCCCCAGAATCGAACGCATTTTCACTCGGTCTTCACGAACTCGATGAATCGAGTCTTCACCCCATGCCAAACCATCCAGCGATGCAACCCGGGCATTCGTCGGTATCAAGCTTCCTCAAAGACTCCCGAGGGGGCGGAGCATGACCACGCAGAATCAACAGACGACATTTGTTTGAGATGCCACGGGGAAAGTTTCACAGGATCGAAAGCTGGAAGCCCAGTCCCCTGTCACCCACGACCTTTCCAGGAAGAAGGGGCATACCTGTGACCAATGCGGGTGAGGTGGCATTTGACAAGATGTTGAAACGCAGGTTCACCATCGTCATTGGAGGATAGAAATCCGTACACCTGATTGTACCATGATGTTTCCTCTACACTGCAGAGTACGAAGTATTCGGGGAGAAAATATGCAGCTCATTATTAATACCCGCTGGGCTGACCTGCATCGGATTGCGCCGCCATCAGCCGCCCAGGGACGAATCTGCATGCAGTCCGCCTGATTGACGCCCGAGATCGTAAGGCGTTCTATTTTGCCATGTGCATGATGCACCTTCGACGCAGGGGGAGGGAAGCGGGAATGCATAGAACAAACATTGTTCGATCGAAGGGGATGGCCCGCCTGCAAACAGGAATTGGAGTGATCGCGTGGCACGACAAAGCGAACAAAGAGAATGATCCCAGAGACACACGTGGTATGAGATTCAGGAACGCCCCAAACCCAAAACCCCGGATGAGAAAACGGTCTCAGAGGGGAGGGGGGAAGAAGTGCTTGCTTGCTTGCTGCTTCTGGTGGATGGTGTACGGACTACGAAGTACTTACTACGTACCAACCTGACCATGGAACCGGGAATCAGGGCCGAGTGGGCGATGCGACGGGGATAGCGTCATCGCTTGGTGTTGAACTTGAACCCGCCAGACCGGATGCACTTGGTTCCATTTGCCAGGCATGCTTTGCCTAAGTAGCGTGAAGCGTGAAGCGTCGCTGGAAGTCTCCATGTCTTGAGTCTTTGGGCTTTCACTCTGGAATCGGGAAACTGTTGCAGAGTAAAAATATGTGAGTCTCACTCGCTCTCCTCACAGTGAGACACCATGCACCAAGAAAAACGTTGTCGTAAGGCATCAATTGAAATTCACCATCCCAAGACGGGTTACGAGTTTGACGCAGAACTAGACAAAATAGGAAGAAGGCGAGGAAAATCTTTTTGCAGCTTTGCGCCGTTGCGGGCGTTATTAGTCCTTGTTCCTGGAACCTATTCCTGGTTCCTGGGGTTGGTGTTTGGTCGCTTAGAGGACGATCAACTGTCGCCAAACAGGGGCAGCCAACCACAGTTTACGGGTTGCCAGCGTCGCTTCTCGAAGGGCAAACACAATCTTGGATCGATTGATTGATTGCGGCCCAGCCTACTGGGTGAGAGGTGGTGGTGGTGGGAGGCGGGCGTTAGGCCGAAAAGAAATAGGTGGCTGCAACTATCAACGTTTTTCAAGTTGTACTTTACGGATAGACGAGCAGCCAATGCGACGCAATACGACACACGTTTACAACAAACGTCCTCCGCTCAGCCACTGCAAGGCGAAAGGGGAAAAAAGGAGGTCGGCCCCCATGACGAACATGAAGACATTGTAAAAAGTTGACAGACATCTCGGACAGCCCGATATGCAAGGGTGAAAATCTTCACAAGCAGATTGCACAAGTCTCCACGTTCATTTATCGCAGTGAGAAAGCAGAGAGGATTCGGAGAATAAGAAGGAAAGAAGGAGTGGAAGGATAATAGATTCGAGATTCGAATGTGGACCACTGACCGCGGCTCTCGGATCCATTCTCCTTTGAAAAGAACAAGCGCCGTCTTGCAATTATTCTGCATCGGAATGGAGTACGGGTCCGTAACATGGCATGTCCAATAAATAAACATGCAATATTATTTCGCTGTTTTAGTGTTGAGTTGTCCGCAATCTCATTTCAGCCCACCTACGCGGTATTGCTGTGAAGGCCCCCCCCCGGGGTCTCCCCCGGCCTCTGCACTGACAAAGATCCCGGACGGTGGACGGAGCACCTAGCGGACCAGCAGCATCTTTGACATTTGCAGTAGCAGGGCAGCAGCAGTGGTACCCTGCAGATATTGTGGTTTTTTTCTTCTTTCTGCGCAGCACGGGCATCTCCAGAAACAGACGACATTTCCATTCTTGTTTATTGAAAAGGGTCAAGGAGCGGGAAAAAAAGGGAGAGCAGTTTTTGACTTGATATTGACGAAACAATCAGAGACGCATCAGGAAGGGGCGGAAAGGGGGAAATCAACACGGAAGGAAGGAAGGCAGGAAGGAGGGAAGGAGGCAGGCAGGTTTGTCTGCACCTTCTTCCCCGAGGCCGAGTGACAGGTACGTATACATACACAATACGAAATAGGTACCTAAGAAGTTAGGAATACTTGATACTTCATGCTGCTCGTTGCCTCTCCATTTGTTCCATCGTCACATCGTCACATCTTGGATCAGGGTGATCAGGGTCCCCTCCCCTTCTCCAAACGCTTTCTTCGTCACCAAGACCAAACACAAATCACAAATCAAAGCCATCAATAACCCCCCCTCTTCATCCCTCAGTGACGACATCCCATCCTCGTCCGGCGCCCCGGCATCCAAAACCCAACGCTACCCGTGATCCGTCAGGTTTAGCTACGCACGGTTTGAGCAACACACACCAGTGACCAGCAACACCACTCATCGGAACTGTAGGCACGATAGAAACACCATCGCTGCAGGGAGCTCCCCTCCTGGAGCTTGCGCCCACCCCTCGTGCGATCCCACAATCACCGAGACAGAGCCGCGCAGTCGCATCCCGTCTTGCAGCCAAACAGCGCCCGGGATAGACTCTTTATTTGAATACCAGTACCTCACCGGGTCAGAGCTGGAGGTTCCCCATCAGAGCTCCCCCATCGAGCAGGCCTCATCCCTCTTGTTTCTTCCACCTCACCCTCGGACGGGGCGACGCTCGAGCACTCCAGTGACCACTCTTTTTCTCTTCCACGACCACCACAGACATCTCATACGAGCACGACAAGGAAAACAAATACATAATAGGAGGGCGGAGCGAGGAAGAATAGAGTCAGGGGCCCGGTCCTTGGTCTGCTCGTTGCTTTTGCCCTTAATCCGCACCCATCTTTGAGCTTTGGGTTCCGATTGTACTCAATTCGTATTCTACCGACATCCTTGTGTACCTACCTTGGGTGGTTAACTTCCCAGTCTCGTAGGTTCTTGCCTTTCAAGTTTCGGCCCCCAAAGACCGAGTGCATCCGTCAATCCTTCCCTTCCATCGATTCATTGCAACGCAACGCAATACAATACGACGCAACACAACTCAAGGTCCAAGGAAGAGCGTACCGTAGCACCGCCGCCAAGGGTCGCTATCAAAAGCAAGCGCATCCCCTCGCTCATTCTGTCATCTCTCCAGCCATTCATCCATACCGAATACAGTCCACCCACCACCATCCCGCATTATCGCTGCGATATTCGGGCCCTCCCAGAGACACACCACCCAACCATCGGCAGGCCTACCAACAGCCTCGTCACACTTTCGGATTTCACACCAATATCCCATCCCGCAGCTCACCATCAATTTTCACCTGTTGACTGCATCTGCGGCGGCGCCCAATTGACCAACGACGTCTTCTGCTCCCCGCATCGCTCAAGCTCCCACTCGCGACAAAAGAAACATCTTGTCTCACCTTTGAGGGCGAAGAATACGAACGGGTTCTATTTACGTCCAGTCAATCCATTCCCACCGATTCAGTCCTCGCTCATTGCAACCTCAACGGTCTACACTCTCTGTCTCGCGCGCGCGCGCCACACGATACGGACTAACCCCAACGACACCTCCATCATCCCATCCACATCCCTCTCGGTGGGCACGTAGAAAAGGCGACGAACGACACCTGCTACCCGCACCAAAGCAACAAGATCAACCAAAATAACAACCACGAGGCGAAGAGAGGCGACGCAAACCACACAGACGCACACCTTTCTTAACTTCCGGTGTCTTCCACTCTCCTTCTCGTCTTCGCTTCCCCCACCTTGCCCAGAAAAAGCCCACGGTCCCAAACGAACGAACCCTGTTTGGGGGCCGCTCCCGTGAACGATTACGCCACAGCCTTTTGCCTCTTACTCGATCCTAACTAAAAGAAGAAAAACGGTCGAACCGCGCGCGCGGTCTGAGAGCCGAAACGAAGCTAAGAAGCACAAGAGCTGCTGCACTGCCGTCCGACTACCTTGCTCCCACGAGCCTACGAATACCTTACCTGCCCTACCGCCGCTACTAATAGAGAGTCGGACCTCTTCTTATCTCACCTCACCCACCACCACTTATTGTACTAGCGACTCTTTCCCACAAAACTTCTCGACTGAATCTCCCGAACCAGAGTTCCCTCCCGAAATATCACCACGAGATCGCATTCGACCTTTCTTTGAAAGCTCAATTCAACGCGTAACGCAGCAAACAGCGCATTTGCGACGCCAAGTCCACCGTCATCAAGCGTCCTCTACTCGCGACTTCCAACGGCGCACGCGACGTGTGACGACACAACCTCGGAGCTGTCCCCGCAATCCAAGGCGGCCGACACTGGACCACCACAACCGCCACATCTCTGGTCTTTCGGAACGAAAATCAACTACCACAATGTCAATCTCACAACAAGCCCCGACGCCAATCTCGATTACCATTTGCGGCGACGGCGGCTGCGGAAAATCCTCTATAACTCTCCGTCTCGTGCGTTCGCAATGGACCTCCGAATACGACCCCACTATTGAGGACTCCTACTCCATCACCCGCAAGATCGATGGACAAAACTACCACCTTTCTCTTACGGATACGGCCGGGCAAGAGGAGTACCGCGGCATGTGGGCATCATCAAACCTCGGCGCGGATGCTTTCTTGCTCGTGTACGACATCACCTCCCGCGATTCCATCGACGCTCTCCAGTACTTTAACGACCTCATCGACATGGAGGCAGAGACTCGCCTCGATAATGCTGAGCGCGCAAAACGTGCCGGCCTCTCACCCTCCTCCTACCGCGATACCGTATCTGCCACGCCGGGCGCTAAAACCGTTCCTCCCGTTAAGATTGTCGCCGGCAACAAATGTGACCTTCAAGAGTCCCGCGCTGTTCCTGCGGCCATGGGCCTAGACTGGGCGCGTCGCCGGGGGTGCGGTTTCATGGAGACGAGTGCACGGCTCGAGGTCAATATCGAGGAGACGTTTGCGCTCATTGTTCGTCGCGTTGTTGAGGCTAGGCGCATGGCGGAGCTGGGCGTCAACGAAAACATGGAAATGGATCGGAGAGGAATGACCAAGCCGCTAAGTCCCCTTCCGGCAGGCAGCGAGCAGAATGAGAAACGCGGCCCCGGTGTTCGGGGTCCGAACATCGAAGGCAAGGTTGGCAAGGCATCGATATGGAGGAAGCTCCGGTGCTGGTGAGGCTTTGACTTGATGGGCCCCTAAGCCAAGATGGCTTTCGAATGTCGATGTTGCATCTAAAGCTGTTACGGCGGGGTTGCTACTCAAAAGTGAGGCCATCAAATGAGACCATGAGCGGCTTCGCCTGTCGACCTGTGGCTGAGATGGGGGGGCCGACGAGGAGGTCCAAGCCTATCTCTAGAGAGACCCAGGGACGAGTGTGACAACCAAAGTCATTGCAGGCCGTTGCGCAAGGAAAGGGTCTGCATAAAGCGCCATGGCGATGAAGCATGCCATCATCCACGGTAGCAGAGGCAGCTTTGACAGCCGGTACATTGTCGTTTTTGCACATTGGGATTTCAGAGAGATTGGGACTTACACGCAAGTGTAGCATTATCAAATGAGGGCGTTTGGGAGTCTCGAGCGCAAGTTCCTCACCGCCTGTTGTACGGGTCGTGAAGGGCGAGGGATTGTACCCAGGGGGGGGGGGCAAAACACCACCGATATGGCCTAGGCTGTATCTCAACTTTTGCGTTTTCTTGTGTTTTTTGCTTTCGTTTAGATACCAATGATGCGTGTGAGTTATCAAGCATATTCAAGGTGAAGCAGACTAGTTATGTTCTTTCCAGTGTGAGATCTTGTTGAGATGAATGTAAATCTGATGAAAAAAAAACATGTTTTGTTTTTCATTCAACTTTAGAGCACATGTGCCACCGCCGCGACAAAAACCTCATTCTCAAACTCGCAAAAAACTGCCCTGATATCTTCTCACCTTATCCCAAGTATACCACAACGCCGTAGCATCAAACAAACTCTTTCTGAAAAAACATTACTGTCTGTGAAACCTGTCCAAACATTTCATCTAGTCGTTTCTTCCATCTAAAGCTTTTCTAACCCCCATCTATCAAAAGTCTTAGGTGGTGATCTTGGCGACCTTTTGCCACAGGCCGTTGTGAGACCAGGTCCAGTTCTTGAGGAAGGGCGGGTCCATGCCCGTCTCGAACGCCTCGATGCGGGCGGCGATCTGCTGGTTGCGCAGCGTCTCGCGGGCGGCGGCGCCGCGGTTGTGGAGCTGTGGCATGCGGTCGATGGCGTCCATGGCGAGGCTGAAGCGGTCCGTCTGGTTGCGGATGGCGAGCTCGAGGGGCGTGTCGATGTTGCCCTTCTCCTTGTAGCCGCGGACGTGGAGGTTCATGTTGCCCGGACGCTTGTAGGTGAGGCGGTGGACGAGCCAGGGGTAGGAGTGGAAGTTGAAAATGACGGGCTTGTCGTCCGTGAAGAGGGAGACCCATTCGGCGTTTGTGAGGCCGTGGGGGTGGTCTTCGTGGGAGATGAGCTTGAAGAGGTCGACGCAGTTGACGCAGCGGATCTTGAGCTCGGGGAAGTGTTGCAGCAGGAGGTCGATGGCGGCGAGGGACTCGTGAGTGGAGATGTCGCCGCACGAGGCCATGACGAGGTCGGGCTCCTCGCCCTGGTCGGTGCTGAACTGGGGCCAGATGCCGATGCCCTTTGTGCAGTGCTCGACGGCCTTCTCCATGGTGAGGTACTGCAGGTGCTCCTGCTTGTCGGCGACGATGACGTTGACGTAGTTTGAGGAGGCGAGGCAGTGGTCCATTGTAGAGAGGAGGCAGTTACCGTCGGGCGGGAGGTAGATGCGGACGACCTCGGGGCTCTTGTTGGCGACGACGTCGAGGAAGCCCGGGTCCTGGTGCGTGAAGCCGTTGTGGTCCTGGCGCCAGACGACGGCGGTGAGGAGAATGTTGAGGGAGGCGATCTTGTTGCGCCACTCAACTTCGAGGGCCTTTTCGATCCACTTGCAGTGCTGGTTGACCATGGAGTCGATGACGTGGACTGCAAAATTTGTTAGCATCATGTTTGTTCAATACGTGAGAGAGAGGTCAACTTACTGAATGGCTCGTAGCTGTTGAGAAGACCGTGACGTCCGGTCAGGATGTAACCCTCGAGCCAACCCTCACAGGTGTGCTCGGAAAGCATCTCCATGACACGTCCCTCAGGGGCCAGGTTGCCGCCGTTGGCATCCTCTTCAAAGTACTCGCCCATCCAGACCTTCTTGCCGGCCTCGTAGACGGCACCAAGCTTGTTGGACTCGGTCTCGTCGGGTCCGAACAGACGGAAGCTCTGCATGTTCTGGGCCATGACATCCCGAAGATAGGTGGCCATGTTGTTCATGCTGGCAGCCATGGTGCCGCCAGACTTGTCAACCTTGATAGCGTACTCCTTGAAGTCGGGAAGCTTGAGAGGCTTCCTAAGAACGCCACCGTTAGCCACGGGGTTGGCACTCATGCGGCGATTACCGGTAGGGCAGAGAGACTTGAGCTCATCCGAAATACGGCCGTCCTTGAAGAGACGCTCGGGCTCGTAGCTGCGCATCCACTGCTCGAGGAGCTTCATGTGCTCGGGGTTGGTGGCGGCGTTGGGGATGGGGACTTGGTGGGCTCTCCAGTAGCCCTCCAAGTAGTTGTCGTCAATCTTGCGGGGGCCAGTCCAGCCCTTGGGACTGCGAAGGACAATCAAGGGCCAGATGGGGCGGAAGGCCTTGCCGGAGTCGCGGGCCTGCTTCTGGAACTTGCGGATCTCGAGGACGCAGTGTTCCAGAGTGGCGGCCATGGCCTGGTGCATGGTATCGACATCGTCGCCCTCGACAAAGTACGGCTGCCAGCCGTAGCCGAGGAAGAGGTTCTCCAGCTCCTTGTGGGAGATTCTGGCCAGGATTGTGGGGTTGTTGATCTTGTAACCGTTCAGGTGCAGGACAGGCAAGACGGCGCCATCCACAATGGGGTTGAGGAACTTGGTGCTGTGCCATGCAGTTGCCAGCGGACCAGTCTCGGCCTCACCATCGCCGACCATGGTCAGGGCGATGAGATCGGGGTGGTCGTAGACGGCACCGAATGCGTGGGAGACGGAGTAGCCAAGCTCTCCACCCTCGTGGATGGAGCCCGGGGTCTCCGGGGTAGCGTGGGAGCCGATGCCACCGGGGAAGGAGAAGGACTTGAAGAACTTCTGCATGCCTTCAACGTCTTCCGACTTCTCTGGGTAGACCTCGGAGTAGACACCCTCGAGGTACGACTGGGAGAGCACGGCGGGGGCTCCATGGCCCGGGCCGGAGATGAAGATGGAGTCGAGGTCGTACTTCTTGATAAGACGGTTGAAGTGCATCCAGGTAAAGATTTGACCCGGAGCTGATCCGAAGTGACCGAGTAACCTCAGCTTCATGTGCTCCTTCTTGAGGGGCTCCCTGAGGAGGGGGTTTTCTTTGAGGAAGATCATTCCCAAAGACAGGTACAAGCTGGCCTTGAAGAAGTCATTGTACTTTACAATGTCCTCCTTGGAGAGGGGCTCGCCCTTTACTGTTGACCGGGCTGGGCCATAGGGGCTGATGGACTCGACCTCCTTGTCGGCCATGTTGATGGTGACGGGAGGTAGGTACGTAAGTGTTGGTGATGTTTATCGTAGGTGTGTTCAGGCCAAGATGCCTTGAAAGGGGTGGTTTAGAAAAGGAAAGGCAAGAGTTGACTGAAGTCCGAGAGGGCTTGGTCTTTATACCTACTAGTCAGGCCGGAAGAGGTCAGAGGAGAGACAGAGAGAGAGCAAGATATGTTGCGGTCATTTCGCCCAGAGGTCGGGCGGCAGGCGGGTAGCTCTGCCCAGGCTGGAGTTTGATGCTCACGTCTATGGTGCTGATCCCCGGTTGGAGGCCGGCGGGCATCGACTGAGTAGCGTAAACGCAGGTCCGGGAGCTATCAGCCGATGTTGACGGCTACCAACCTGGGTTGGAGGCGAAGGTTGCGAACGTTGAAAGAACAAGGGCATACAAGCAGGGGTGGGGGATACGAAGATACGGAACGGAACCTTGTGGCACGTAACACGTTCCTTGATGGGGCTCCAGGTGAAGCATCTTTTTGGGACTTTTAGCCTGGGGAGTTGGAGAAGTGGTAACCCCAGGTGCGGGACTCTCATTCATTCCACAATGAAAGGCTCCAATGGGCTGGCAACGCGGGGGGGAAGAGGAGAAGAGAAAGAGATGTTGGGTGTCATGGCATCCTGGCAACGTGGACTTCTGGCGTGGGTTGCCGTTAGTGGCATATGGCGAAGTTTCCTTCTGGGCGGTCCGGAAGCTGCCTATGACAGGGTGACGGGACGAAAACTAAGACGGCGGCTGCAGATGAGCTGAGGAATTGCGGGTTTTCCTTGCATGTTCTTTGGGCGACGAGAGGTTGATCGGTGGGTGGTGCTGGTGATTGTGCGTGGGGAGAAGAGGTGGTCTGATTTTCTGAATGCAACTCAACTGCGGCCATGGCACCAGGCGACATGTAGCCGACGTCACCTTACGCCCCACGTCGGTATCGGTTGTGATCCTGTCCGCGTCATAGTGCTTAATTTGTCCTGTCAGTCCGTTTTCAGGAGATTGAGGAGGGATGTTCAGGATTCAATGGCTTTTTGGGTCAGGAACGCTTGCACCTTGGTGGTCGAGAGGTCTCAGTCAGCGGAGGAAGTACGGAGAAAAACTGCTGCTCAGAGTTCAGAGTCGGTGCAGCAGCGGGCCGAGCAGAATCGCCGCTTCGGGACATGGTACGGTACCTTCCAGGTACGTATTCGGCACCGTCGGCAGCTGCCGTTTGCCGGCCCGGGCTACGTATCTACGGTGTCCATGGCGAGCCAAGGTGAAGACGGTGACTAGCAAGGTGAGGCAGGTGCTGATGCACACATCTTCATTACTAGTTGCAACGTGACGCCTGCAACTACATTCGCATTATCGGCAGCTCTGCCCAGTCCGTGCTGCCGGGCCAATCTCTGTTACACCAACATGATTCTGACCCAATCCAACCCATCCATGCCTGCATCAAAAAGCCTCAATCACCCTTTGGCTAGGTGGTCTCACTACCCGATCTTCGGGAATGAGATAGTCAACTCCCAGGACAACGGCTAATCGCCAGATACGATCCCCTTCTTGGCGTGGCGTCAACCGAAATGGCACACCCAAAATATCTCCCTACCATCACGGGACAGTGGCATCCTTCCATCGAGAAAACAGCAGAATCCGTTCTACCTCGCCTCCAGAGAAAGCCAACAACAGAGCCTCCATCCCGGGTTAGGCATGCTCTACGGCACCACCGTTTCGGACCGTTTACTCGTATCAACGCCCTATCGCAACCAGTGCCGGTGTCCCCGTGCAACCGGCTTAGAACGACCAGCCTTTTCTCTCGATTCGCTTGTCTGGTCGACCAGTCCACTGATGGCCCGATCATTAGCTGCACCAACGGCGTTGGTAATGACAATGCTGTCCCGGAGGAGCCAGACGAATATCGAAACAAGGACGTCGTCAGTTAGCCGGCAAGGAGTATGAATGACAGGCCCGGCAAGCCTAGCAGTGAACCCGGACGCCTTCTGCCCTTGGCCAATCTAGCTAGGCATGCAGCAAATATCCCGCCATTGCAGAGAGATGCCTTGGTACTTGGCCTTCTTCTGCAGGCAACTGGGCAGGCTGTGCCGAATTGCATCGGACTACCTTAGTCGTGTAAGCCTGGCATAAGGCACGAGCTAGACGACGGGAAACAACTGATGGTGCGGAACCCGGCCGGCTCCTCGCCCAGATCCAGAAGCAGCTGATTCATGGCGAGTCTGGATCATGGCATATGCACGCAGATCATGGCACCGCTCATCCACGACTTGCCTTACGTGCCACAATAAGCCTGGCAACCCCGGTTCACTGGGGGGCCTGACACACCCCGCCAAGTGTCAATCCTGCAGACATCACCCCACCACCTTTCACGGCGGGAGCTAGGACCCCAGCCCCGAGAAGACGAGGACAAAGTGGAGGGGAGCTGCAGCTTGAGCTTGAGCTCGGTGCTCGTCCTTCCTTGGTGTCACTTCCGCAGAAACAACGCGCTGTTTTGAATCGCCATTTGTATTGTTTTTCTGGGAATTTCTCGCCCAGGTCATTTTTCTCTTCCGCATCAGCGTTTCTTCTGCCTACAACAAGTATCTTGCCCCCCCAGAGGCCACGCCATCCGCTGAATATCGATTGACCTTCAGTGTCTTGCGTCTTGAGAGACTCAGAGCAATTGCAGCGGCAACCGGCAAGTCAGCTAAGGGATGAGACCTCGCCGATGGAGGGGTAGCCTCTTGGCGAAACCGTGCCAGATGAGAGGAAAGCCCACAATGTGCGCTTGAAGGAATGTTTACGGAATGCCGTTGGGTTCCAAGTCATCCGGTGTTCCGCATTGAGTCAGGACTTATGCCAACCAACAACGCCGGCGATCTGCTTGAGACGACGATATGAGAACGCAACGACATACGCTTATCAATATGATAAAATGTTCCACCCCGCGGGTGATGAATAGGCTCGTCTTTCAGCGGGTACAGCCTTCCTCGCTATACACCGTATTCACCTTGTTTTGTGTGACAGCACTCGGCAAAGCCAAGCGTCTATTGGACTAGACACGGAATTTAAATGTGACATTGCATCCATGGTCTCGAGGCTCTGCAAGTCGAACAATCTGGGGATCTGGCAGACGTTCAAAGACAAGACATCTGCGACAATTTTATCACCATAAAACGCTAACCTCCTTGACCCGGAGAGTGGATTCCCACCTGTCATTTGAATCGCCCCGACTTATCCTGAGTTAGGTATGAATTGTCTCATTGCCTCGACGTTTGCGCAACCTTGAGAGCTTTCATGCATTTCTTCTTCACCGCAATCTCGGACTAAAAACAGGTTCCGGCTTTCCTTGGATCTCGATGAGCGGAACCCCTCGCGAGAAGTTGTTCAGCGAGGTGGATGGTGGGGTTTTCACATTCTCATGTCCTGATCTGATAATTTATGGGTACGGGGAGTCTGACAGTTGCGCTCCACGCTGTGCCGCATGTACTTCGTATGCGGGTCACCAAGCCAGGTCCTCCGAGCCGACCGGGGGCTGCTGTCCTGCGGCTGCGGCGGGGTTGGTGGGGGATCAGCCGCCGACACGCGGGAACTAACCGTTTACCAGCAGCACTCAGGGGCAGTAGGCACTTGCAAAGAGCTTTGGTTCAGCTGCCTAGGAGTTTGCGCCGATTTGGCTTTGCTCTGGGCGCAGAGTCACTGCTATCGTGCCTACTCGTAAGTCAGGATGTCCACATCTAAGTATGATTAGTTGCTCCTTTCTCAACATGGGCACGCATTGTTTATAGGAGATACCGACCGCAGTGAAGGCAAACTATCATACGGATGACGATTTTTTAGCCATGGTTAGCCATAGAAGTTGGGGTTTATAAAACGTGGCCTTGATCCTCGTCACTTACGTCCCATCTCAATGACCATTGACTTACGATGACATCCAATCCCGGACCCCATTCTGGTCTGATATCAAACTGACAGCACAAAGATAATGTCCCCATGCGAGATCGCGACCCTTAAAACAAAAAGTCATTGTTCCATAATGCGAGACCCCCAACTGTAGACTTTTATTCACTTCCGGTGGACGACGAGTTGCAAGTCCATCCCCCGCACCGACGGACTGAACTCTCTCGATGACCACTTTGCTCCCTTTGCCATATGCCCCATTTATCCGAAAGGGTTGCGAGACCGCGTAAACTCATTTAATTGACTTAGCTCACGAACCGTCCGAGCGGAACGCCCGTGACCACCTTCATAGTAGAGAACAGCCAAGTGAAGGGGAGAGTCGACACACTTGGACATCACGGTGGCCTGACGTCACGCCGTCCCCCCGCGTTCTATGGTCCCCAATAGCTTGGTTCAGACAGAAAAGAAAAGGTAAAGAGAGGGGAAGCATAGAAGTTATGTTTGTATATACTCTGCTCCGTCCGCTCTCAAATTGCGACCAATGATGAAAACTTTCTTCCAACCTCTTCCTTGACTGACTATCATAAACCGCCTCGTGAGTGATTCTCCTACGTCGAACATTATCATCCCATCCATAAGGAGAGTCAAATGAGCATTTCGATTGATTATACAATTGTACGCAGAAGAAAAGAAAACATTTCCACACCCTTGTAATGGCATCCTACCCAAGTCACAAACCTCAAACCCCACAGCCTCCTGCGCCTATCCCCATCAAGGACGGCGACGACGACCAGGGCGATGTGATGAGAGACTACTAAAATGGAAGAGGGCAAATTTGGGGGAGCGACAGGAAACTGGCTTTGATGGAAGTTGAATGGGTTCGGGCCGACACACGCACACAAAGCTTGGAAGAGGCAAGGAACACTGAGACTGTGATAAGATTACACACGAGCTGAGACGTGAGGGCAAAGGAAGGCAGGCTATTGTTGCAACTACTGAGACTGCAAGCTTGTACGATGTTATGCAATTCGAACTACTTTCTGATTGAACCTTTGCTTTCTAAGGCCCCCATCACGCGAAGAAATCACTTAGGTATGCCGGCAGTCCGCTTCACCTACTGCAGACTCCCAGCAAACCTGTTCTCATTTTCCCTCGTTGATTATGGGCCCCTGCATATCTATTCCCCCATCCCAGCTACCCGGGTCTTCAAGCCGGTGCCGCCATTCCAGGGTTCCAGACCTCATCAGACCACGCCTCTTCCCCTCCCCCTAGCTCTCCCCACGGGGTACGAACGCCTACGGCTGCGCATCTTGACGTGATGATTGCATCTAGCGGGCATGACTAGCCTTCTTTCCTGCTCGCAATACCTACCCCGCCCTATGGTCCGTCCCCTTTGGACGATCCTTCCGAGCTCACCTGGATCTCGCAGGGCAGTGTCTTAATTATCACGCCAACAAGCCACATATGATATCTAAGATATCTTGCAGGGAGACAGATTGAAACATGTTTCTTGATCTCGCAGAAAGCTTGATAGTAATTGATAGATCTTGCGTAGTGTCTCATCTTACCCCTGGTTCCGTGGATCTCGCAATAAGCGGGACCGGTGTCAATGTTGAAGACATCAGGTGATGACTCCCCTGCATATACATCGGCTTTCTTTTTGAGGCTTACACCAATCCCAGTGTAATAGACGTCCCTTCGATGAGAAGGATAGGCTCTGAGAAAGCAGTTTCTTCTAGATCCATAGACCAAAATTGAAATAGCTCGAGGCTTTTTCCGAGAGACCCACGTACAAAGATACAATGAAGAGAACATGCCACAGAAGATTTCGTTGAATTGCTACGCATCTGAGCGAAACCCGAGTCTCCTACGCCTCACCTTCAGATTCTGAGCAACAGACGACAAAACATTTGAACCACACCCGCCCCCAAGAACACCGCCTTCACAGCCGCGAGAACTATTCACACTATCCCAAGCTACTATTCCTACTCGTGATCCATCCAGCATATCCACCAGACTCCTCCACGTTCCCGTCTCACAACCAACTCCTCAAGGGCCTCTCCTTCGAGAAACCTGCTCAAATCTGCTGTACGAGGCCATAAAGAGCCAGCACAGGCAAAATGGAATCCCCCCTCACGGGATTGAACGTGGACCTTCGCATATCACAGCTTACGAGTGCGATGCTCTACCACTGAGCTAAAGGGGCGGGGCGGAGCCGACATCGCCGTCCTGGTTGGGTCGGCGAGCGAGACATCTCCACAGCGATGCCGGCAGACTGTTTGGAGATATCACTGGTGACTGTGAAGAGGGACATTCAGCGAGTACAACGAGGAGAAGAAGCAGGACAGGAATGCGAACAGGGAGAAATGTAACGTCTAAATCGTTTCTATCATTAAGCAAGAGGGTATTGGCGGTGGTTTCCCAGTCAGAAATGATGATGCCTCTACCAAAGCCATGCCCGCTCGTGCCTTTATAACTCGAACCCCAATGAGCTATCTACAAGGGCCCAAGCGCGTATTCTACACCTTTCATTTGACAAAGTCCAAAGCCAATCTCTCAGTAAGTTGGTGCGAACCACCGTGTCGCCATTGTAGCGTTATTTCGTGGTTCAGTCAAGCTGGAAACGTAGCTTGGATGGGCGTGTTGACAGCGGACGTGATGCCCTCTGAAAGTTCGGCGGAGTCCTCTTCACTAGAGACAATTAGTGAGAGCCTGATGATGGTTTGAGCCAAGCCCTGACTTACTTGCACTTCGTCTCCTTAGTGCACGACCCCTTTCCTCCTTTGGATTTTCATCTGCTGCGTCTGTTTCTTTGGTGTAACTTCCGAATAAGTTGAGAATGACATTCTTCGGCAGGGCGTTCTACTCCTTTAGTGACAGAATGCCTGAGCCCTGCGGCCATTTGTTCTCTACGTCAATGAGTTCGATGTCCCCATCAGCATCCCGATCCCCGTCCTTGACAGCAGAGTTAGGGTTTTCTTGCTGGCGTTTGGGGATTTTGACCAAGTCGCCTTCTTTGCCATCTTCCACGTAACAGAGGTAGTAAGGATCGCCGTTGCTGTTGAGAGTCTTCATGACCTCCTTCGTGTCGGCGTTTTCTGTGACGACCCTGTCATTGTATTTGCGCCACACTCCAGCCTCAAAATCGTGAATCCAGACCCAATAATGACCAGCTCTGAGCTGACCACTGTGGCAGATCACTGCATGCAAACGATACGCATGCTTCTTGTGTTGTGCGAATAGCTGATCAAGCTCCGCTTTGTGGGACTTCAGTTCATCCTCGCGCATGTTGCTGATCTGATGGCGTCCTTCCACCGTGAAGCCTGTAGGCTC